GTTGGCTTGAAACTCAACATTAAGAAAACCAAAATCATGGCATCCGGCCCTCTCAATTCCTGGCAAATAGATGGGGAAGAAATGGAGGTAGTGACAGATTTTATTTTTCTGGGCTCCAAGATCACCTCAGATGGGGACTGCAGCCAAGAAATTAAAAGACGCTTGCTCCTGGGGAGGAAAGCTATGGCAAATCTAGGCAGCATTCTAAAAAGCAGATACATCACCCTGCCAACAAAAGTGCGTATAGCCCAGGCCATGGTTTTCCCAGTTGCAATGTATGGCTGTGAAAGTTGGACCATAAGAAAGGCTGAGCGCCAAAGAATTGAGGCCTTTGAACTATGGTGCTGGAGAAGACTCCTGCGAGTCCCTTGGACTGCAAGGCGTTCAAACCGATCAGTCCTAGAAGAGATCAACCCCGACTGCTCTTTAGAAGGCCAGATCCTGAAGTTGAAACTCAAGTACTTTGGCCACCTAATGAGAAGGAAGGATTCACTGGAGAAGAGCCTAATGCTGGGAAAGATTGAGGGCAATAGAAGAAGGGGACGACAGAGAATGAGATGGCTGGATGGAGTCACTGAAGCAGTAGGTGTGAATTTAAATGGACTCCAGAAGATGGTAGAGGACAGGAAGACCTGGAGGAACGTTGTCCACGGGGTCGCGATGGGTCGGACACGACTTTGCAATTAACAACATCAAGAAAGGAAAGTAAGGAGCGCAGACCACACTTAAGGAAGAAAAAAATGTAAGTACTGGTTGCCGGCTAAGGCAACCTCCCCAAATGGCTCCATTCATAAGTAAAGGAATGCTACAGGCCAAATCCATTCAGGAGAAAAATACTTCAAAATCCCTTGCAGCAAAACTTACAGCTAACAGCAGAGCAATAGAAGCTAACAGGAGACATCAGCCATCAGCCAAATAGAAATTGCCAAACACTCCTTAAGAACACAAAGCCCTCATTGCACAAATCCCAGAACTTCAAAGTCACAAAAGCACATAAGAATCCTTCCACTCTCCATCTCCTTCCCTCCTCCGTGCCTCACCTCCAGCCATTGCTGCCTTTTTTCATTCCTCTTGGAAAGTGACCCCTCCCCCACTGCATTTCTTGCCTGTTTGCTGCTGCCAGCCCAGGTGGCTGCCACCGGCTCATGGCCAGCCTGCTTGATCTCCTCTCCCCCCACCCTCACCCTCCTTCTTCATCTTTGTGCAGCTGACTCTGTCTCCTCCCAAGGCTGCTGCTTTTTTTCTCTTTCCCTCTCCTGCCCAAACTGACTCCTTTTATAGGCTCTTCTGCCTCCCCCCCTCCTCCTTTCTTATAGGGGAGGGTGAGCCAGAAGTGAGCCTGGGGCTTTTGCAGCTCCAGAGGACTCTCTCACTGTAAGTCCTTGCCTGTGCTGGCTCTTTTCCTCCCCCACTACACTTGGCTAGGCAGGGCTGCATACCACCTGCCACTCATTAATGTACCACAAGCGGTACGCCTACCACCGGTTGAAAAGCCCTGGACTAGAAGACCCAGTTCAGCTGTTGGCTTTGAGCTCTGTTGCATTCCAAACCTATCTTTTATTCATTCTCTTTTCTTTTAGAAACTCCGGGCTGCATAGAAAGCACTTCCTAGACAGCATCCTGAGTCAAGAAAGAGGCCCATTTTAATCTCCTCTAGTCACCTATCTCCCTTCACAGACATAATTTTTGCCTGTCGATTGGCATCTCAAGCTACCTTCATGCCTGATCTAACAATAACTGGAGGTTTTTTGCACTTTTAATCCCATCCTTTACCCTTAAACCAGTGGTTCTCAACCTGTGGGTCAGGACCCCATTTGGGGTCGAATGACCATTTCACGGGGGTTGCCAAACAACACAGTCCGCCATTTTTTTCCCCCTTTTCCTTAGCTGTGCTACTCCCTTTTATTCTATTGTTTTTTGAAAGCCAATAAAATAGACTCTCTCAAAAGCTGATAGGAATTGTCCAGGCTGTCTCTGCCCTGCTGAGCCCGCCAAAAGTCCCATTCCGCAAACGGTGCTGCACCAGTTGAGTAGTCCTCGACTTACGACCGGTTGAGTAGTCCTCGACTTACGACCGGTTGGGGGGTCACGGCATTAAAAAGGTTGAGAACCACTGCCTTAAACTCAATGTTTCTTTTAGGTACCTTCAAGTTAGAGTTGACACCGGGCCTGGACTGCTTTCCTGCAGTTTCCTTGGCAAGGATTTTCAGAAACAATTAATCTATTTGTTCACCTGTAAAGGAGTTATTCATGAGAATTCCACTATTCCCTTTGTACCAGTTTCATTGTGTATATTTTGAATGTTTGTGTAATGAAATTCAATTGCTATTGCTCCACACTTAATTCTTAAATATGGCATAAATTGTTATTCCTCACCTCACGCTCATACCCATTGCCTCTTTCCTGCCATCTGGTATTTTGGTTGTATGTATGAGACACACCCCAAAATGAAAAAAAAAAGTGTCTTTACAGAATAATAATCAAAGGAAACACACCCTTTGGAATGAATTCTTACAATAGCCAGTCAGCCAGGAACGCTTCCAACTTCGTCGCTTCCATTCCCTCTGCGCTAATGTCCCATTTTGTTTCTCAAAGACATTAGAATGTTGTAGCCACTAAGAGTTTGCATTACGCAATGGTCCTCTCAAAGATCCAGAGGCTTTTGAGTTATTTCAAGCAATTTCAGTGCTCAAGCCCAAAAAAATGTGACAGCAGATAATGCCCAAATATGACACTAAAAAGAGAGAATTGAATATAATCTGATGAGAATGAAATATAATTTGATTATTTTAAAGTTTAAAATCTTTATTACAGTGAAAGCCAGCATGAATGTGGGATGTATTCAGCTAAACAGAATAGAAAATAAAGTCTAAAAATAGTAATTATACTAAATAAGACATAAATGAAAGATATAAATATATAAAAACAGAAGTTTAAATTGGGTCCACAACACCCAGTCTATGGACCAGCAGCTGGCTGCAGCATGCCAGCAACTGGGCCGTGCAAACAAGCAAAGCCCCATCTGCAGGATGCAGGCAGCACACAAAATCATGGCCCCTCCAATGTACGGAAAAACTCTTTCCATGGAACTGGTCCCTAGTGGCCAAAAGGTTGTGGGCCATTGGTTTAAATGGAACTAAGACAGCGGTTCTCAACCTATGGGTCGCGACCCCATTTGGGGTCGATCAACCATATCACGGGGGTCGCCAAGCAAGGCTGTCTGCCTTTTTTTTCCCCCTTTTCCGGCGGGTGCCTTACCTCCCTTGGGCTGGGCCAGCCGGTGGTCGGCCTGCTCCGTCTCTGCCGCTTGCCAGCTACGCCTCAGCCGGCGCAGGGGGCGGCACCACGTATGTGCGGCGCTCCCGGGCAGGGAAAGTCCTCGACTTACGACCGGTTTAGTCCTCAACTTACGACTGGTTTAGTCCTTGACTTACAACGGGTTGGGGGTCCCGGCATTAAAAAGGTTGAGAACCACTGAACTAAGAGCACGCCAAGGACATAAGATGCCTGTAGGTTGAATGGTTTATTATGTGGCAGATTAAATCTATCATTCCACAAAGCAGACTGTAGGATGAACTGGATGTTCCTTAAGACTACTTTATGGCACAGGCCATCCATCATCTGACCATATTTAAGTGCTGCTCTGTAGAATCTGGCAACATTATACTGCATGTAGTACCAGAGTGACTATCTGAAAGCAGTAGGGAGATGTAGAATTGTCCTGTGTGCCCTGAGTATTTATGCAGTACTAGAGAGACGACCTGGATACAAATATCTGTACACCCACTGGACAACAACATGCTCTATTGTTTCTGTGTGTCCAGAGTTACAGTGGCATTGTATTATAACCAGAAATGTATTACTGAAATAAACAACCCTTGAATTTTTCTAAACTCAGCAAATTTTTTAGCATCTTGGCACTGCCAAGATTCAAAGGTTAATCCATCAGCATCAAATGTTAACAGAAGGCACTTCCAAACAAAGGAGATTACAGCAGCAGTTGGTAGAAAACATTAAAATCCTATGCTCAAAAACTACAACTCCTTTTTCCCTACAGCGTTCCAACAGCATTTGCATATCATGGTCAACAATCTTTACATGTGACATTTTTGTGCTCTTCTCACTGTCCCAAACCCCCCTCATATTTTCAATTTTGTGTTTCATTGTCCCTCACTGTCCTTGCTTCACTGTTCACAATCTGTACAGGGATTCTTCCTATACTGAATTTCTGGAAAACTTAGGAAAAGATGAATTCTGATCCGTCTTTACCTCTCCTATCGCCTCATATTGGAGGAGCTACAATCACTAAGTAAATCAGAATGCTCCTATCTTCTAATATATTTTATAGGACCTGCAGTAGATTTCTGAAGACATCTGTTCATCAATATGCAAAAACAACCCCACATTATTTGTGCAGCAGTTGCACTATTATTGAAAAAGAGAATATCTGCTATATTCTGCTAATACAGTGGTTCTCAACCTTTTTAATGCTGCGACCCCCAACCAGTCGTAAGTTGAGGACTACTCAACCGGTCGTAAATCGAGGACTACTCAACTGGTGCAGCACCGTTCGCAGAATGGGACTTTTGGCGGGCTCAGCAGGCCAGAGCCAGCCTGGACAATTCCTATTGGCTTTTGAAAGCCAATAGAATTAGACTCTATTCAAGAGAGTCTATTCTATTGGCTTTCAAAAGCCAATAGAATAAAAGGGAGTAGCACAGCTAAGGAAAAGGGGGAAAAATAGCGGACTGCGTTGTTTGGTGACCCCCGTGAAATGGTCATTCGACCCCAAATGGGGTCCCGACCCACAGGTTGAGAACTGCTGTGCTAAGCAAGGCACAGGTAATTAACCTTGATCAAAGTAACATTTTTCCTTTCCATTTCTTTTGTCCCTCCTGCCTAATGTTGAGACATGTTTGACTAAACTGAATGAGGCCACAAATTAAATAGTTAATTTCTCAATTGCTTTTGCAAAGGCAGATCAGAAAAGAAATTCAAGCCTTCTCTTCACTCATCACCTTCTGCCTCATGTGGATTTTCTTGTGTTTAATAAGGGAGGAGGTTTGCGAGAAGCATTGTCTGCACTCTGTGCATTTGAAAGGTTTCTCCCCTGTATGTATACCTACATGATTTATCAAGATAGACCTAGCACTGAAACCTTTCCCACAGTCCGGACACTCATATGGTTTCTCCCCTGTGTGAGTCCTCTGGTGTGTCACAAGGACGCAATACTGACTGAAACGTTTTCCACAATCCAGACATTGATATGGTTTCTCCCCTGAGTGAGTCCTCTGGTGTGTCACCAGAACACATTTCCAACGAAAATATTTTCCACAATCTGCACACTTATATGGTTTCTCTCCCGTGTGAGTCCTCTTGTGTCTCACAAGGTTGGAATTAACACTGAAACTTTTCCCACAATCCTGACACACATATGGTTTCTCCCCTGTGTGAATCCTCTGGTGTATCACCAGGCCAGATTTTGAACTGAAAGATTTCTCACAGTCCAGACACTTGTATAGTTTCTCCCCTGTGTGCGTCCTCTGGTGTATCATCAGGTTGGATTTATGACTGAACTCTTTCCCACAATCTGGACACTTATATGGTTTCTCCCCTGTGTGAGTCATCTGGTGCATCACAAGCCTAGAATTCCAACTGAAACATTTACCACAATTTGGACACTTGTACGGTTTCTCCCCAGTGTGAATCCTCTGGTGCATTAGCAGGGCAGAATTCCGAATGAAACCTTTCCCACAGTCCAGACACTTGTATGGGATCTCTCCAGTATGACTCTTCTGGTGGTTCAGAAGGTCAGAATTATGACTGAAAACTTTCCCACAATCGGAACACTTATATGGTTTCTCTCCTGTGTGAGTCCTCCGGTGTGTCACAAAGTCAGAATGCTGATTGAAACTTTTCCCACAATCCCGACACTCCAATAGTTTTTCCCTTGTGTGAGTCCTCTGGTGTATCATCAGGTTGGAACTATGACTGAAACGTTTCCCACAATCTGTACACTCATATGGTTTCTCTCCTGTGTGACTCCTCTGGTGTACGATCAGGTTGGAATTATTACTGAAGCCTTTCCCACAATCTGCACATTTATAGGGTTTCTCTCCTGTGTGAGTCCTCAGATGTATCACCAGCTGGGAATTATGCCTGAATCTTTTCCCACAATCCTGACACCTATATGGTTTCTCTCCTTTGTGAGTCCTCTGGTGTTTCATCAGGTGAGAATTCCGGCTGAAAGTTTTCCCACAGCCTGGACATCCATATGGTTTTCTTTGATTCAAGCTACTCTTTCTTTCTTGGCAGGGGGAAGCTTCCATGGCTGCCTGTCTTATATGCCTACTCAAGTGACACCTTCCGCCCCAGTGATTTCCAGAATATTTCCCCTTTTTGTAAATCTGGAAATGATCCCTCCTGACCTTTTTCAGGAGTGTTTGCTTGAGTTCAGCCCAAAACTTTCTTCCTGTTATTCTCTCTCTTGTCGGTCATCTGCCAGAGGAAGTGGAAAATACTTTCACTGCTGGCTGGATCTGCTTTCCATTTTAATGCCTCTTTCCACTCTCACTTGTCTGGAATTCTCTTCCTGGCATCCTCTTTGCCTGTAAGATTGACATAAACCCATAGTTTAAGAGTTGTTTATGAACTGGCTACCGAAAATGTGAAAACAGCAAGAGAACAGAGCATGCATTACAATGAGAAAGCAAACATGCCAAAATGCTAGATTAACCTCTAACATTAACTATGATTCATTTGACTCATAGACTAACGAGATCCAAGTTCGAATATCCACACAGACATTAAAGTCTCTTCTGGACTTCAGCAAATCACAAGTTATTAGCATTTCAAACCATTATTTTTAAATACAACAGGAAATATTGAGGGCAGATTATACAGATATGCACACAAAGACAAACACTGACACCCCTACCAATGTAAGTATGTTAAACGTCCATGTGTATTACAGCCATAAAAATGTTCCTGAAGTGGGTATGCCCATATTTTTTGGTCTAATTTCAGGGGGAAGGCTTCAACAGATGAGGGTTTCAGCCAATGAAATGGTGCTCAAAGCATTTACAAGATAATATGCACAAAACTCTTCAGTTTTGAAGAAAACAGCACATCTCAAAAAATCACAGTCAACCCTAAATTGAAGGAGACTTTTAAATCTCCCAACGAGCAAAAATTGCAAGGCAATACTTTTAAAACGACAGGGAGAAAATTTTGGGAGGGAAGGAACATGCAGCAGTAGCTGACATGTTTCACCCTAGTTTTTCCTTTGCTACATATATTAACAAAAGTCAGGGGTTGCCGCAAAGACGAGGGAATCAAGCTATTCTCCAAAGCACCTAAAGGCAGGACAAGAAGCAACGGGTGGAAACTAACCAAAGAGAGAAGCAACCTAGAACTAAGGAGAAATTTCCTACAATTAACCAGTGGAACAACCTGCCTCCAGCAGTTGTGAATGCTCTAACACTGGAAGTTTTTAAGAAGAGACTGGACAGCCATTTGTCTGAAATGGTATAGGGCCGTGATGGTGAACCTATAGCATGCGTGCCACAGGTGGCATGCAGAGCCCTCTCTGTGGGCAAATGCGCCATCGCCCGAGTCCTAGGCCTTCAGCCTATAAAAACTTTTTACTTTAGGCCTCCGCCGCCATGTGCAAAAAAAAAAGTTTCAATCAATCAATTTCAACTCCTTGCGGGGAAAAAAAAAGATCTCGCAAAGTTGGAATTGATTGATAGAACTTTTTAGTCCCACCCAGTCTGCCATTACCACCACAGCCACGCCTACCCAATGGGCCACACCCACCCAATGGGCCATGCCCACCCGGCACCCAATGATACATAAGTGGGTTTTGGGTTGCAGTTTGGGCACTCGGTCTCTAAAAGGTTCGCCATCACTGGTATAGAGCAGACATGTCAAACACAAGGCCCGGGGGCTGGATGCGGCCCACGAAGTGGTTTCATGTGGCCCGCGAAGCCATCCTGGAAACAGTTGAAGGAACGGCCCCCACTGCCTTGGCCCAGGCCAGCCAGGAGCCAATGTACAATTTTGTGATGGCCATCTTGGCACTTGCCCCAGTTGACCATGCCTTGGCACTTGCCCTGGTCCCACCCCCTTCTGCCAAGACCCTCAGATTGTCCCACTCCTGCCCAGGCCCCCACAGGCACCCTTGATGCAAATGATGTAGAATTGGCCACACCCACCCAGTAGGCCACACCCACTCCATCCACGCCCACCTAGTAGGCTGCACCCACTCTGGCCACACCTCCCAGCCCCCCAAGGGCAACTGCAATGTTGATGTGGCCCTCAAGTGAAATTGAGTTTGACACCCCTGGTATAGGGTTTCTTGCCTGAGCAGGGGGTTGGACTAGAAGACCTCAAAGGTCCCTTCCAACTCTACATTATTACTATTACTATTATTATTATTATTATATTAATTTATTATTTATTATTATTATTTTGGAAATGCACCACAGTAGTAATGGGGGACTTCAGCTATCCTGACATCAATTGGGAGAAAAGTTCTGCATCAGTTAGGAGACCGAACTGGTTCCTGACCAACCTAGCTAACAACTTTGTCATCCAAAAGATACCGGTAGAGCAGGGAACTAGAGAGACAGCTATACTGGACCTAATTTTTACTAACACAGAAAAAATGATAGAAGGGATTGAAGTTCCCAAAACTTTGGGAGAGAGTGACCCTGTCATATTGGAAATCAATATAATTCAAACGCAATGAATAGAACAAAATCGAACCAGTGTCTTTAAAAGAGATGATTTTTAACAAGCTTAGAGAGAGCTTGGGAAGGATATCATGGATGAAAATCTTAAAGGGGGAACAACTCAAGAAGAAGACAAAAGAACAAGTACAAAAAATGGAAAGAAGGACACTAAGGCAGAATACAAATAAATAGATCGAACTTGCAAAGATAAAATCAGGAAAGCTAAGGCTCAGAAGGATATAAAAGACTTGCAACAACTGTCAAAAATAATAAAAACTTTTCTTTCAACATATAAAAAACAAGAAAAAAGTCAAATAAATAATTGGTCCACGAATGAGAGAAAATGGCAAGGAAGTAATGGGCAGTAGAGAGAAAGCAGAGCTCCTTAATTCATCTGTCTTCATGAAAAAAGATAATACAGCCTAACCTACCAAAAACATAACCGTAAAAGGCAGACTAGGAATACAAATCAAAATAAGCAAGAAAACACTTGTCCATTGTAGACAAGTTCAAATAACCAGGACCTGATCGATTACATCCCAGTGATCTGCCAGCTCCCAGTGAAGGAGTTGGCAGATCTTGGAACCACTGAACCATATCTTTCAAAGATCCTGGAGCACTGGGGAACTACCAGAGACTGGGAATGAACTGATATGGTTCCCATCTTCAAAACAGAGGGGGGGGGACAGATCCAGGAACTACAGCCTGACATTAATAACAGGGAAGATCCTGAAAAATATAATAAAGCAACAAATCTGCGAACACCTAGAAGCAAGCAACATTATAACCAGAAGCCAACCCAGGTTTGTCAGAAACAGATCATGCCAAAGAAATCTAATTTCACTCTTTGACAAAGTGACTAAATTAGTGAATTAGAAGACCTCCAAGGTTCCTTCCAGCTCTGTTATTCTGCTATTCTATTGATTAATGGTCATCATACATTCCTATTTCTCTTCTTGGAAACGGAGCCTGGCTTGAACTCCATTCCTCAAGAGAAATCCAGACCAACATTTCCTTTCCACATTGCTCATCTCTGTGCAGAGGAACAGGGAGATGTTCTCTATGCACAGGTGACAAGCAGTAACCAGATCTTCAAGGTTGAGTCTCATTTTGGGACTTCATACGTCAGGAAGGATTCCTGGGAATGAGACGGGACCCCCTGACCAAGGTTTTCTTTGCCTGCTACATAATTCCATCTGAGGCAGCCAAAATGCAGGGACCTTTTTAAGACTCAAGAGCCACGGGGGCAAAATGTTCATCCGAATGCTCATCCATTCTTTTCACTGTATCCTATGCCAAGGAATGTTTTACTGTTTGCAGTTTCCTATGTTTCACCAACCCCCTTTTAAAAGGTTTTCATTTTTAAAATGACCCTCCTTCCACCGCAGATTTCGTGAATCCAAGAACTGAAGGAAATTCAATTCCTTCAATTCCTAAGGCAACATAAATCTCTGCCAACAGTTCTCTAGGTCACTTTGCCAGTGAGGGGATTTCATGCAACGCCTTCCTAACTTATCTCAGTATTAAGGAAAAAGTCCTCCTAGAGCAGGGGTAGGCAACCTTGGCTCTTTTATGACTCGTGGACTTCAACTCCCAGAATTCCTGAGCCAGTCCTAGAGGAACATTTTCTCTATGGCTAATTCCACTAATTTTCGGGGATATCAGATAGGGAATGATTGCAAAAACAAAGAGGATGCCACAGGATACAGTGCAGGTTGGGCTAGAAGACCTCCATCGTCCCTTTCCACTCCGTTGTTCTGCTTTGGAAGCGTGGAGGAAACCAAACAGCCCTACTTGCTCCCAGCCTCTCCTCCGACCTGTCAACTCACCTTCCAGCAGCTGTCGTCCTGGAAATAGTAGGAGAGCCTCCCTCCACGCCATTCCCCCCCCCCCATGGATGAACCAGAAGAGGAAGTTCCTCTGTTCTTCTCCTCTCTTCCATATCCTCTCTAGAAATCCAGTACTCTATTGTTTCAAAACACCTTTCAGCTCCGTCGCTCCCTCTGCCGTTGGATGTCAGTACTGTACATAGTAACCATCGATCCTGCTACCGTGTTGACGGCTTTCCAGTCGCCGCTCATTTCGTGGAGCGCCATCTAGCGACAGAAGGCGGAAAAATACGCTTCTCCTGTCCTTCGCAAGATTTTTGATTGATTGCCGTATGCTCCATCAAGTTGTTTTCAAAACCACCGATCATATCGACAGCTTCACGCTAGCATGATCGATCCCTAATCTGGTTTTTTCGGGTCTCCCAGGGATGCACTCATAACTACTGCAACTGACCCAGTGGCTTTGTTTGATAAAAGAGAGAAATCAAGGGAAAGCAACAGCGGGGTTGGGGAGGGATGGAGATGGTGGACCAACTAGACCAGTGGTTCTTAACCTTTTTGAACGAATCGCCCCCTTGAGCCAATGAGGAAGTTGTCATTGCCCCCCCTCCCCCAACATAACCCCTCAATCACAACATAGGAAATAATTCTTCAATTTATGCAAACACTTTTTTGTTTTCTTTAAAATTGTCATCAGGACATATGATGCAAATAATTTATTTCCAGTCTTCTTCCCATATCTCAACTGTGTGAAAAATTTTGGTGCCACCCATCACTTTATTCCCAAACTTCGTGATACGTGTATTTCATTATTATCTTATTTATTCAAGACACTTAAATGTAATGACCATTGAAAACAAAATTCAACTGCAAGAAAGTGAAATGCCCGAAAAGAAAAACAGTAACATTTAATGATTGAATTACAAGTGAAATTTAAGATGCAAAAAGAAATATAAAAAGGGCATAAGAACAAACCGCAATGCAGGAACTAAGAATTTCAAGATGAAAACTCTGAAACTAAATTAAGATTCAAGGAAAGTATATATAGTCATGCACACTGTAAAAAGGATTAAAAAGTGACAAAGAAAATATAATATCGAACTGGAGTGCATGCTAAAAAAGTACAATACAAAGAGACACACAAAACAGCATGCGATGTTTCGAAAGAAGCACTCCCCCCTCCATCACTGCCCATTCTAGCCAATGGTGAGCCACAGTATGGGTAGAGCAGGGGTAAGCAACCCAAAACACTCAAAGAGCCACTTGGACCCGTTTCCCACCGAAAACTAAACACTGGGAGCCGCAAAACCCTTTTGACATCTAAAATGAAGATAACACTGTATATATCCTTTTTTACCTTTATTATATATATATATATCTTCAGTGTTGTCTTCATTTTAGATGTCAAAAGGGTCTCTCTCTCTCTCCCTCTCTCCCTCCCTCTTTCTGCCCTTGGTCTGCCAGTCCTCTTCCCCCACTTAGTGTGTGTGTGTGACAGAGAGAGGGGGGGGGAGAGAGAGGCACTTGCGCTTCCTCTCTCTCTTTCTCTTTCTTTTTTTCTTTCCCCTCTCCCTCTCTTTCCTCTCCCTGCCTCCCCCTTCTTTCTCCAGGTGAAGAGAGGGGGGGGAGAGAGAGGCACTTGCGCTTTCTCTCTTTCCTCTCTTTCTCTCTTTCCCCTCTCCCTCTCTCTCTTTCCTCTCCCTCCCTCCCCCTTCTTTCTCCAGGTGAGGAAAAAGAGAGAGAGAGAGAGAATAAAAGGCAGAGGGCACTGAAGGAGCAGGGAGGGGGGACAGGAGGCAGCAGAAGACCCCGTTGCTGCTGGAGGCACCCAGCTTCGCTGCCCGCCGGGCCTGCAGGGACGCCCTGGCTCCCACGTACCGCTGGCGTCCCTGAGCTCAAGTCGGGGCCACGGGGCATCTGCAGAATGCCCCGCCCATCGGCTGCATCGCCAAGCCTCCCCTCGCGCCACCAGGGTCCCGGGGCTTAACTCGCACTCTGCAGAACACCATCAGCTGCTGGAGGAGGAGCTGGGGCCGCTCCGCAACGCACGACGTTCCCGGCCATCCGCGACCCATCAGCATCACCCAGGGAGTGATGCCCCTGCCGGCCACCACCCCAGCCAGGACTGCCGCCCGGGGGGGGGGCAACAGGAGGAAGAAGGAGAGGAGGAGGAGGGCAAGGAAGCCGGCGCCGGACCCCAGGAGGAGGCGCTCCCGCGGGTCTGGTTGGAAAATGCCTCCCCCTCCCTTTCTCTCCCCCCCCATCTTCTACTCACCTCTCAAAGCAGCCAGGAGTCTAGCGCACCTTCCCGGCCAGCTGGGCCAACAGTCCCATGGCTGGGGATCACAGGGGCAGCTCTCCCTCAGGGCCGCAGCTTGCAGGAAGGCTGGCCCGCTAGGCTGAGGCTTTGGTGGGCTGCTCCCAGCGGGGATCCTGGGGATCCCCTGCGCAGTTCCCCGGCCACGTGCACCTGGTACGGGGCCAGCCAAGGAAATGGACTTCCTGGCTGCACTTGTTCCAGGAGGCGGGGCACCCGGGCTCAGAGCCAACCAGGAGCCGGGGGGGGGGGGGCAAATCCGCATCAGAGAGAGAGAGAGAGAGAGAGAGTCTCTCTCTCTCTCTCTCTCTCTCTCTCTCCAAATGGCGGAGGAGGCTCGGAGCCGCAGGGGCAGGCTCAAAAATCTCCCCAAAACCTCTTGCTCCATCGCCCCCGTATCACCCCCTTTTCATTCCTTTGCCCCCACGTCGCCCCTTTTCATTCCATCGCCCCCCCTGAAAAATGAAATCGCCCCCTGGGGGTCAATATCGCCCAGGTTAAGAACCACTGAACTAGACTAGACTTAGAAGTCCCCAGTTCAACTGTTGGCTCTAAGATCTGTTGCATGGAAGAATATGAATTAAAGCAACCCCAACGTATATTGTATTGGTTTTATTTTATTTCCTTAACTCAGAATAGAAAGCACTTTCTAGATAGCGCTGTGGTGGCACAGTAGTTAGAATGCAGTACTACACGCTACTTCTGCTGACAGCCGGCTGCCAGCAGTTAGATTCTGACTGGCTCTGTAAGGGCTATATAAAGCACTGTGAAGCAATATATAGCTCTAAGTGCTATTGCTATCCTGGGCCAAGAAAGAGGCCCATTTAAATCTCCCCTATCTGCCTATCTCCCTACATCAGGGGTAGGCAACCCAAAACACTTAAAGAGCCACTTGGACCCGTTTCCCACCAAAAACAAAACACTGGGAGCCGCAAAACCCTTTTGATAACTAAAATGAAGATAACACTGCATATATCCTTTTTTACCTTTATTATAGGTGTGTGTGTGTTTGTGTGTGGGGGGGTATTTGTGTGTGTGTGTGTGTATGTGTATGTATATGTATGTATGTGTATATATATACACACACACACACACACACACATACACACACAGGTTAAAAAAAAGGCTATATGCAGTGTTATCTTCATTTTAGATGTCAAAAGGGTCTCTCTCTCTCTCTGTCTCTCTCCCTCCCTCTCTATCTGCCCTTGGTCTACCACTCCTCTTCCCCCACTCTCTTTCTTTCTCTCTCTCCTCTCTCCCTCCCTCTCTCTTTCTCCCCCCCTCCTATCTGCTGCTCACCTGGCAAACTTCAAGCTGTTGTCCAACAAGATCAGGGGTAGGCAACCTCGTCTCTTTTATGACTCATGGACTTCAACTCCCAGAATTCCTGAGTCAGCCTAGCTGGGCTATCTAGCTCTCTCCTGCCCTTCCTGCTTCCTGCAGAGATGCAGCAAAGGGAGGAGCTCTGCCCAGTAAGCTTTTCAGCTCCTCGGAGAACATGTGAGTACACTCTCTTTTACACATACACACACACAGAGAGAGAGAGAGAGAGAGAGAGAGATTGAAGCAGGGAAGCGCAATTGCCTCTCTCTGTCTCTCTCTCTCTCTCTGCAAAGAGCCACAGGGGAAGGCTCAAAGAGCCGCATGTGGCTCTGGAGCCACAGGTTGCCGACCTGTGCCCTACATGGACATACTTTTTGCCTCTCAATTGGCATCACAATATTCCATAGCTCCTGGAAGCTGCCTTCATGCCTTACCTGACACTGAACTGAAACATTTTTGGACTTTTAATCTCCTGTGCTGTGTTGTTCTGGTGCTTTGGTTGTATGTATGAGACACACCCCAAAAGAAATAAAATTGTAGTCTTTACAGAATTATAGTCAAAAGAAACATACTCTTTGCAAGGAAATCTTACAGTAGCCAGTCAACTACTAACTCTTCCAAATTATCCTCTTTCATTCTCTAATAACTAATAACTCATTCTGTTCCCTAAAGACATCCTAAACTTGTAGCACCTAAGATAGCAAACCTTTTAGAGACCCAGTGCCCAAACCCCACTTATTTATCACCGGGTGCAGGGGGGCATGGCCGAGGTAATCATGGCAGACTGGGTGGGTGGGGTCAGGGTGGCGGGGGCCAGTCCTTCGCCATCTCCAGAGCATGGCACGCGTGCCCACAGAGAGGGCTCTGAGTGCTGTCTCTCGCATGCGTGCCATAGGTTTGCCACCACTGACCTAAAAGTTTGCTTTATGGAATTGGTCCTCTCAAAGATCAACAGGCTTTTGAGCTATTTCAAGCTTTTTCAACACCAAAGCATACAAAAAAATTAGTAACAGATGTGCCGAAAGATGACACTAAAACGAGAAATAAATATGATGAAAATTAAATATAATTTGATTATTTTAAAGTTTAAAATCTTTATTACAGTGAAAGACCAGCCTAATAAACATGAGGTGTATTCAGCTAAAAACTATAGAAAGTAATCAAAGTCTAAAAAATAGCAAATGTACCAAAAAAACAAAAAAAATGACAAGAGTATATTAAAAAACAAAAGTCTAAATGGAAATAAGAGAACAGCAGTTTATGCAGAACAGATGAGCCTGGTACAAACATCTAATACAGCTACTGGAGAAGCAAGTGCTCCAGAGCCACAGGGGTGCTGTATTATAACCTGAATTGTGTTACTGAAATGAACAACCCTTGACTTCTTTGGCCTTTCTAAACTCAGCCAAAATTTTAGCATCTTGCAGTGCTATCGCCCACCGGCCTTCAAAGGTTAACAAGAGGCACCTCCAAGCAAAGGAGATCACAGCATGAGTTGCTAGTAAGCTTGAAGATCTTATGCTGAAAAAGAACCACCGCCTTTCTCTATTATATTCCAACAGCATTTGCATATCATGCTCATTATGTAATTTTTGTGCTGCTCTCACTGTCCCAAACCTCTCTCATGTTTTCCATTCTGTGCCTCATAGTTCTGTGCTTCAATGTTCACAGTCTGAACAGGGACTCTTCTTGCCCAAAATTTTAGAAACTATTAGGAAAAGATGAATTCCAAACCCTCTTTACTTCTTCTCTTCTATCACTTTATACTTGAGGAGCTAAAATGGCTAAGTAAATCAGACAGCTCTTATCTTCTCATTTTTAGCATCTGCAGCAGGTTTCTGAAAATCTGTCTGTTGCTTTTCTATGATCTGTTGTTCAACATGTAAAAACCATCCCCAAAATCATTTGCTACCCAAATCATTTGGTAGCAATTACCAAAAATTAGCTATTCTTGCAAAAGGGAATATCCTCTACATTCTGCTGTTAGGCAGACACAAGTAGTTAACCGTAACATTTTCCATTTTCATTTTTTTCCTCTCCTCCCAAAATGTCTAATAGTGAGGACAGGTTTGACTAAACTGAATGAGGCCACAAATTAAATAGTTAATTTCTCAATTGCTTTTGCAAAGGCAGATCAGAAAAGAAGTTCAAGCCTTCTCTTCACTCATCACCTTCTGTGTCATGTGGATTTTCTTGTGTGTGGTAAGGGAAGAAATTTGCGAGAAGCATCGTCCGCACTCTGGGCATTTGAAAGATTTCTCTCCTATGTGTAAACCTGCATGAGTAATAAGGTTAGTCTTAGTACTGAAACCTTTCCCACAGTCTGGACACTCATATGGTTTCTCTCCCGTGTGAGTTCTCTGGTGTATTACAAGGTGAGAATACTGACTGAAACATTTTCTACAGTTAAGACATTTATATGGTTTCTCTCCTGTGTGAGTCCTCTGGTGTTTCACAAGGCTGGAAGACAGACTGAAACATTTTCCACAATCCAGACACTGATACAGTTTCTCCCCCGTGTGAGTCCTCTGGTGTATCACCAGAACAGATTTTGACCTGAAAGATTTCCCACAGTCCAGACACTTGTATAGTTTCTCCCCTGTGTGTGTCCTCTGGTGTATCATCAGGTTGGAATACTGACTGAAACCTTTCCCACAATTAAGACATTCATATGGTTTCTCCCCTGTGTGAGTCCTCTGGTGTTTCACAAGGCTGAAAGACTGACTGAAACTTTTTCCACAATCCAGACACTGATACGGTTTCTCCCCTGTGTGAGTCCTCTGGTGTATCACCAGAACAGATTTTGACCTGAAAGATTTCCCACAGTCCAGACACTTGTATGGTTTCTCTCCAGTGTGAGTTCTCAGGTGAACTACCAGATGGGAATTCTGACTGAAACTTTTCCCACAATGCAAACACTCATATGGTTTCTCTCCTGTGTGAGTCCTCTGGTGTATCATAAGGTGAGAATCCCGACTGAATGTTTTCTTACAGTCTGGACACCCGTATAGTTTTCTCTGATTCAAGCTACTGTTTCTTCCTTCACAGCGTGAAGCTTTCATGACTGCCTGTCTTATATGCCTATCCAAGTGACCCCTTCTTCCCCTCTGATTTCCAAAGTATTCCCCTTTTTTCTGAATTTGGAAACGATGCCCCTTTTGCTGGAGGGTTTGCTTGAGTTCTATATACTCCAGCTCAAAACTCTTTTACTGTTATTCTCTCTTTCACCTGTCTAGGGAAGGAGAAGAATGTTGTAGTTTTCTGGAGGAAGTAGAAAAGACTTCCATTTCTGGTTGGATTTGCTTTCCTTTTTAATGCTGCTTGTAATTCTCACTTGTGTGGAATTCTTTTCCTAGCATCCTCTTGGTCTACAAGATTGACATAAAAGGTTAGTTTAACGGCTGTTTATAAATTGGGTGCAGATGTGAAAATAGCAAAAGGAAAAAAGCATGCATCATAATGAAAAAGCAAACATGCCAAATAGCTAGTTTAACCTCTAACATTAACTATGATTTATTTGACCCATAGAAGACTAACGAGTTCAAACATCCACACAAACAAATTCTCTCCTGGACTTCAGCAAATCAGAAATTCTTAGCATTACAAACTGTTATTTTTAAATAGATCAGGAAATACTGAGGATAGATTATACAGGTATGCACACGGAGACAAATATAGGTCCACCTTCAATGTAAGTATGTTAAAAGTCCATGTGTATTTCAGCGATATAAATGTCCCAGGAGTGCACACGTTCACACTTTTTGGTCTAATATTAGACGGAGGGGGGCAGAGCGCGGGAGGGCTTCAACATATGAGAGGCTTCAACCGATGAAATGATGCCCAAAGCATCTGCAAGATATAATCCCCCGTTTTGTCCATGAACCCCCCCCCGTTTCCAAGACAACAACACGTCCATGGAAATCCTAAAGACTCCACCTTTTTTTTTTTTTAATTTTTATTCATAATACAATTAAAACAATAATGGACAAACATGACATTCCAGAATGAATTTTCCAAGCAGTTCCTATCATAGTACAAAAATTTTATACATTGTTCTTAACCTCTATATAAACCTCATCTTTTATACAATACAATTATATATACAATTATATGTACAGTTATGTATATCTTTTAATTCTACCATTAGTTTGAAGTCCAAGCAGTTCTTAATTCATACCAGCGAGGGAGAAATTTTAAATTTCCCAACTAGCAGAACATTAGCAGGCACCACTTTTAAAGCGACCAACAGCACTGGAACAAAAGTTAGGGAGGGAAAGAACATGCAGTAGCAGCTGACATATTTCTGTCTAGTTCAGTGTTTCTCAACCTTGACCATTTTAAGGCATGTGGACTTCAACTCCCAGAATTCCACAGCCAGCAATGCTGGCTGTGGAATTCTGGGAGTTGAAGTCCACATGCCTTAAAACGGTCAAGGTTGAGAAACACTGGCTAGTTTCTTCTCTGTTTCTACTCTGTGGAGAAAACCAAACAGCCTCCGACCTTCTTCAACTCACCTTCCAGCTACTACAGTCCTGGGAAGAGCAGGACAGCCGCCCTCCATGCTACCATCCTCCCAGCCGGAGGGTCAGCCGGAAAAGGAAATTCCTCTGTTCTTCTCCACTCTTCCACATCCTCTCTAGAAATCCAGTACTCTATTGTTTCAACACCTTTCCGCTCCTTCGCTCCTCTTCCCGTTGGATTCTGCAACCATCGGTGCCGGTGCTGTATTGACGGCTTTCTATTCTCCGGGTGTTATTCATTTAATAAAACGCTCGCCATCTAGCCACAGAAGGCTGAAGTACAGGCCTTGGTGCTTTGTGAGCTTTCTTGTTTTCTTGCAGACATTTCATTACCCAAACTAGGTAACATCATCAGTGCTGCTGATGTGACCTAGTTTGGGTAATGAAATGTCTGCAAAAAAAAAGAAGCAAGTTCAGAGAGCAGCAAGGACCTCCCATTTAAAACCTGAGCTACAAATATTCTCCTTTATTGAATTACAGGCTTGTCATTTGCAAGATTTTTGACTGATTACTGTATGTGACATTGATGCATTCATACCTACTGCAACAGAAGCAAGAACTAAACCAAGGGAAAGCATCCTTTGGGGGGGGAGGGGAGATGATGGAGATGCTGGCCCAACTAGACTCAAAAGACCCGAGTTCAACAGTTGGCTCTAAGTTCTGTTGCACTGAGAAGTCTGAATGAAAACAACCCCAACATGTATTGATTTTTGTTTTCTTTCTGGAACACTAAGAAGCATAGAAAGCAGTTCCTAGATAGCATCCTGGGCCAAGAAAGAGACCCATTTTAATCTCCCTTATCTGCCTATCTCTCCCTTCATGGATATACTTTTTGCCTCTCAATTGGCCTCCCAATATTGCATAGCTGCTGGAAGCTGCCTTCATGCCTGATCTGACACTGAACTAGAACATTTTTGGAGTTTTATTCCCCTGCCCTTGACCCTTACAGCCACTATTTCTTTTAAGTGCCTTCAAGTCAGACGTGACACTTGTCAAAGTGGCTGGACTGCTTTCTCTGTGGTTTCCTTTGCAAGGATTTTCAGAAGTGGTTTCCGCCTTTCCTGTTTCCTAGGCCTGAGAGAGGGATTGGCCAGGGATAGAACAGAATAGAGCTGGAAGGGACTTTGGAGGTCTTCTAGTCCAGCCCCCTGCTCAAACAGGAGAACCTATATTAGTGATGGCAAACCTTTTAGAGACCGAGTGCCCAAACTGCAACACAAAACCCACTTATGCATCGTCAAGTGCCGGGTAGGTGTGGCCCATTGGGTGGGTGTGGCCAATTGGGTTGGCATGGCTGCAGTAGTAGCGGCAGATTGGGTGGGACTAAAAATTCAATCAATCAATTCCAACTTGGCAAGAACTTTTTTTTTCCCATAGAAGTTGAAATTGACTGATTGAACCTTTTTTTTTTTTTTTTTGCACACGGTGGCGGAGGCCTAAAGTGAAAAGGTTTTATAAAACCCAGCTGAAGGCCTAGGACTGGGGTGACAACGTGCGTGCCCACATAGAGGGCTCTGAGTGCCATCTCTGGCACCCGTGCCATAGGTTTGCCACCACTGACCTATACCATCTAAACCATGCCCAGATGACTTCAGGCCTATAGCAGGCCTGGAACTGGCCACTTCTCCATCTGTAGGCTGGAGCTTCAAACACTATACCTCTTTCATTCCCTCCATGCTGATGTTCTACAAAGAGATCCTAATCTTGTAGCAATTAAGAGTTTGCTTTATGAAATTGGTCGTCTGGAAGATCAAGAGGTTTTAGAGCTACTTCAAGCATTTTCAGCGCCTAAAGCATACAAAAAATTCAGTAATAGATGTACCTAAAAATACAAAAAAGAGAGGACTAAGTATGATGAAAATTAAATATAATTTGATTAAAGTTTAAAATCTTTATTACAGTGAAAGATCAGTGTAATAAACATGGGGTGTATTCAGCTAAAAACTATAGAAAGCAAAATCTAAAATATAGCAATTGTACCAAAAAAAAGACAAAAATGACAGAGTATATTAAAAAACAAAAGTCTAAATGGAAATAAGAGAACAGCAGTTTATGCAGTACAGGGGAGATGAGCCTGGTACAAACGTCTCTCTAATACAGCCAATGGAGAAGCAAGTGCTCCGTTGTTTCTGTGTATCAAGAGCCACAGGGGTGCTGTATTATAACCTGAATTGTGTTACTGAAATGAACAACCCTTGACTTCTTTGCTGTTTGTAAACTCAGCCAAAATTTTAGCATCTTGCAATGCTATCACCCACCAGCCTTGGAAGGCACCTCCAAGCAAATGAGATCACAACAGGAGAAGATGCTATGCTCAAAAGATACAACCACCTTTTCTCTATAATATTCCAACAGCATTTGCATATCATGCTCAACAAACATCAGATATGTTATTTTCTTGCTGTTCTCACTGTCCCACACCTCTTATGTTTTCCATTCTGTGCTTCACTGTTCATAGTCTGAACAGGGATGCTTTTTGCAGATTTTCAGAAAATATTAGGAAAAGATGAATTCCAAACCCTCTTTGCTTCTCCTCTCCTATCATTTTATATCTGAGGATCTACAAATGCTAACTAAATCTGAGAGCTCTTATCTTTTAATACAGTGGTTCTCAACCTGTGGGTCGGAACCCCATTTGGGGTCGAACGACCATTTCACGGGGGTCGCCAAACAACGCAGTCCACCATTTCCCCCCCCCCCTTTTCCTTAGCTGTGCTACTCCCTTTTATTCTATTGGCTTTTGAAAGCCAATAGAATAGACTCTCTTGAATAGAGTATAATTCTATTGGCTTTCAAAAGCCAATAGGAATTGTCCAGGCTGTCTCTGCCCTGCTGAGCCCGCCAAAAGTCCCATTCTGCAAACGGTGCTGCACCAGTTGAGTAGTCCTCGACTTACGACCGGTTGAGTAGTCCTCGACTTACGACCGGTTGGGGGTCGCGGCATTAAAAAGGTTGAGAACCACTGTTCTAATATATATTTTTAAGCATCTGTAGCAGGTTTCTGTATGTTGCTTTTCTATGATCTCTGATAATCAACATGTAAAAAAAAATCCTCAAAAACATTTGGTAGCAATTACGCTATTTTTGCAAAAGGGAATATCTACTACATTCTGCTGTTAAGCCAACACAAGTAGTTAACCGTGATCAAGGTAACATTTTCCATTTTCATTTTTTTCCTCTCCTCCCAAAATGCCTAATAGTGAGGACAGGTTTGACTAAACTGAAGGAGGCCACAAATTCATTAGTTAATTTCTCAGTTGCTTTTGCAAAGGCAGGTCAGAAAAAGAAATTCAAGCTTTCTCTTCACTCATCACCTTCTGTGTCATGTGGATTTTCTTGTGTGTGGTAAGGGAGGAGGTTTGCGAGAAGCATCGTCCGCACTCTGGACATTTGAAAGGTTTCTCCCCTGTATGTAAACCTGCGTGAGTAATAAGGTTAGTCTTAGTACAGAAACCTTTCCCACAGTCCGGACACTCATACGGTTTCTCTCCTGTGTGAGTCCTCTGGTGTTTCACAAGGCTGGAAGACTGACTGAAACTTTTTCCACAATCCAGACACTGATATGGTTTCTCCCCCGTGTGAGTCCTCTGGTGTATCACCAGGCCAGATTTTGAACTGAAAGATTTCCCACAATCCAGACACTGATATGGTTTCTCCCCTGTGTGCGTCCTCTGGTGTATCATCAGATTGGAATACTGACTGAAACCTTTTCCACAATCTGGACACTCATGGGGTTTCTCTCCTGTGTGAATCCTCAGGTGAACAACCAGATGGGAATTATGACTGAAACCTTTCCCACAATGCAAACACTCATATGGTTTCTCTCCTGTGTGAGTCCTCTGGTGTATCATCAGGTTGGAATTATGACTGAAACTTTTTCCACAATCTGGACACTCATGGGGTTTCTCTCCGGTGTGAGTCCTCAAATGAACAACCAGATGGGAATTATGACTGAAGCTTTTCCCACAGTGCAAACATTCATAGGGTTTTTCTCCTGTGTGAGTTCTCTGGTGTATCATCAGGTTGGAATTATGATTGAAACATTTCCCACAATGCAAACACTCATATGGTTTTCCTCCTGTGTGTGTCCTCTGATGTATCATCAGGTGAGAATCCCGACTGAAAGTTTTCCTACAATCTGGACACCCATATAGTTTTCTTTGATTCAAGCTACTGTTTCTTTCTTCACGGTGTGAAGCTTTCATGACTGCCTGCCTTATATGCTTATCCAAGTGACCCCTTCTTCCCCTCTGATTTCCAAAGTATTCCCCTTTTTTCTGAATTTGGAAATGATGCCCCTTGACCTTTTTCTTGAGTGTTTGCTTGAGTTCTATACACTCCAGCTCAAAACTCTTTTACTGTTATTCTCTCTTTTGTCTGTCACCTGTCTAGGGAAGGAAAAGAATTTTGTAGTTTTCTGGAGGAAGTGGAAAAGACTTTCACTGCTGGTTTGAATTGTTTTCCATTTTAATGCTGCTTGTGATTCTCACTTGTCCAGAATTCTCTTCCTAGTATCCTTTTGGTCTACAAGATTGACATAAAAGGTTAGTTTAATGGTTGTTTATAAAATGGGTGCAGAAGATTTGAAAATAGTAAAAGGAAAATCATCATAATGAAAAAGCAAACATGCCAAATAGCTAGTTTAATCTCTAACATTAACTATGATTCATTTGACCCATAGAAGACTAGTGAGTTCCAAGTTCAAAAGCCACACATTAAATTCTCTTCTGGATTTCAACAAATCACAAATTCTTACCACTACAAGCTGTTATTTTCAAATATATCAGGAAATATTGAGGCTAGATTATGCAGATATGCACACAGAGACAGGCATAGGTAGACACACCTACAAATATATGTTAAAATCTATGCATATTTCACCCTCAAAAATGTGGGTATATTCAACCATTTGGGTCTAATTTTAGATGGAGCTGGGTTTCAACAGATGAGGGGCTTCAATCTATGAATGATGCCCAAAGCATCTGCAAGATATAATCCCCAGTTTTGTCCATGAAACTCCCCAGTTCCCAAGAAAACAACACGTCCATAAAATCAAAGACTCCACCCTAAACTGAAGGAGACTTTTTAAATCTCCCAACCAGCAGAAAATTGCCGGCACCACTTTTAAAGCGACCAGCAACACTGGAACAAAATTTGGGGAGGGAAGGAACATGCAGCAGCAGCAGCTGACATGTTTCAGTCTGGTTTCTTCTCTGCTTCTTCTCTGTGGAAGAAACCAAACAGTCTTGCTTGCTCCCGGCCTCTCCTCCGACCGATCCTCAACTCACCTTCCAGCTGCTGCAGTCCTGAGAACAGCAGGACAGCCGGCCTCCATGCTACCATCCTCCCAGCCGGAGGGTCAGCCGGAAAAGGAAATTCCTCTGTTCTTCTCCGCTCTTCCACATCCTCTCTAGAAATCCAGTACTCTATTGTTTTAACACCTTTCGGCTCTGACGCTCCAGCTCCCGTTGGATGTTAGTAGTCAGCAACCATCAACTGTATTGACGGCTTTCTAGTCGTGCGTGTTACTCCTTTAATAGAGCGCGCGCCATCTAGCGACAGAAGGCTGAAGTAGAGGCTTCTGTTCTTCGCGAGATTTTAGATTGATTACTGTACTCTATGCGCCGTCAAGTGTTTTTCAAAACTATCGACCATATTGATAGCTTCACTCTAGCAAGTTCGATCCCTAACCTGTTTTTTCGGGTCTCTCGGGGATGCACTCATGGCTACTCCAACTGACCCAGTGGCTTTGTTTGCTAGAAGCGAGAACTAAACAAAAGGAAAACATTGGGGTGAGGGGGGCGGGTGGGTGGCGATGCGACCCATCCAACGAGGCCCAACGAGACTTAGAATGCCCCAGTTCAGCTGTTGGCTTGAAACTCTGTTGCATGGAGACATCTGAATGAAAACAATCCCAACATAGGGATTAGGCTGCATTAACAGAGGTATAGAATCAAGATCACGTAAAGTATTAATACCACCTTACAATGCCTTGGTAACGCCACACTTGGAATGCTGCATCCAGTTTTGGTCACAACGATGTAAAAAAGATGTTGAGACTCTAGAAAGAGTACAGAGAAGAGCAACAAAGATGATTAGGGGACTGGAGACTAAAGCATATAAGGAACAGTTGCTGGAATTGAGTATGTCTAGTTTAATGAAGAGAAGGATGAGGGGTGACATGATAGCAGTGTTCCAATATCTCAGGGGCTTCCACAAAGAAGAGGGAGTCAAGCTATTTTCCAAGGCACCTGAAGGCAGGACAAGAAGCAATGGATGGAAACTAATCAAGGAGAGAAGCAACCTAGAACTAAGGAGAAACTTCCTGACAGTTAGAACAATTAACCAGTGGAACAACCTGCCTCCAGAAGCAATGAATGCACCAACACTGGAAATTTTTAAGAAGAAACTGGACAGCCATTTGTCCGAAATGGTAGGGTTTCCTGCCTGAGCAGGGGTTGAACTAGATGACTTTGAAGGTCCCTTCCAACTTTTTTATTATTATTATTAATAATAATTTTATTCCCTTTTCTTTCAGAAACTCAAGGTGGCAAAGAAAGCACTTCCTGGGTAGCATCGTGGGTCAAGAAAGCAGCTCCTTTTCTCATTTTAATTTCCCCTGCCCATCTATCACTCTTTCATGGACATACTTTTTGCCTATCAATTGGCATCTCAAGGGCTACTGTCATGCTTGACCTAATGATCAACTACAAACTTGTGGCTCTTTTCTTCTGAGGAAATTTCTCCAATTGGAGACTGGTGGCTTGTAGCTTGGTCCTGGGGAAGAGTCCTTCTGGCTTTTAGATTATTGCTTAATTTCCTATATGGTTAATAGGCTGTCAACTAATTAATTTTTTTATTGTAAAGGGTTTTTTGTTGAGTATTCCATTATTCCCTTCATGAAAGTCTCAATGTGTCTACTTTGAATCTTGGCATCATGGCCTTCTGTCCTTTTATTTCTGCTCCACACTAAATTCTTAACCATGGCATAAATTCTTATTCCTCTCCTCACACTCATACCCACTGCCCCCTTTCTCTTGCCTTCTAGTGCAGTGGTTCTCAACCTTTCTAATGCCGTGACCCCATAATACAGTCCTCCATGTTGTGGTGACCCCCAAGTGGGTGTGGCCACCAATAAGAGGGAGTAGGACAGCTAGGGAAAAGGGAAAAAAATGGCGGACAGCGTGGTTTGGCTACCCCCGTGAAATGGTCATTCGACCCCAAATGGGGTCCCGACCCACAGGTTGAGAACCACTGTTCTAGTGTTTTGGTTGTGTGTATGAAACATGCCCCAAAAAGAGGGGGAAAAAAACTGAGTCTTTACATAATGAAAATCAAAAGAAACACTCTTGCCAACGAACTCCATTGGCACTCAGTAGCCAGTCAACCAGGAATTCTTCCACGTTCTTCTCTTCCATTTCCTCTTTGCTAAAGTTCCTTTTTATTCCCCTAAGACAAGGGTAGGCAACCTTGGCTCTTTTATGACTCGTAGACTTCAACTCCCAGAATTTCTGAGCCAGCATGGCTGGCTCAGGAATTCTGGGAGTTGAAGTCCACGAGTCATAAAAGAGCCAAGGTTGCCTACCCCTGCCCTAAGACATCACAATGTGGTAGCCATTAAGACAGTGTTTCTCAACCTTTATGATTTTAAGGCATGTGGACTGGCTGTGGAATTCTGGGAGTTGAAGTCCACATGCCTTAAAATTGTCAAGGTTGAGAAACACTGCATTAAGAGTTCACGTTATGGAATGGTCCTCTCAAAGATCCAGAGGCTTTTGAACCATTTTAATAATTTTCAGCTCCTGAGCATAATAAAATATGACATGGTAAGGGGTGTGCCCAAAAATGGCAGAGAGAGACCATAATCTAATTATTTCAACATTTATTTATTTATGAAACTTATATACCACTTTAAGTGCAAGCACTCTCTAAGCAGTGTACACCAGTAGGCAATGTATATATATATATATATATTTACATTGCCCCCAACAATCTGGGTCCTCATTTTACCTACCCCGGAAGGATGGAAGGCTGAGTCAACCTTGAGCCGGTGAGATTTGAACCGCTGACCTGTTGAACACAGTCAGCTAAAGTGGCCTGCAGTACTGCACTCTAACTGCTGCGCCACCTCGGCTCTTTTTAACATTTAAAAACTATGCAATGTGTTTAATTTTGAAGCCCCTTGGAGCTTGAGGCTCAGGGCCAAAGAGCCTGTTGGTTCCTCCTCACTCCTGGCATGTTTTTGGCTGTTGGGTGTCCTTCTGCAAGGGGATCATAGAGGGGGGGGGAAGCATTATATTACTTGATGAAATCAAATCAAATGTTTATTACACTGAAACACCAGCATAAGGAACTTGGGTACGTTCAGTCAAAAACTACAGAAAATAATCAAAGTCCAAACCTTATTATTATAAAAAAACTGAAAGATACGAGACTATATATTAACACTGAAGTCTAAACAGAACTAAAAGGAGAGCTAAGAGCACAAGGTGGGTTTAAGGAGCATAAAGATGAATACGTGACAGATTAAACCTATAGCCTAGTATGACAAGCTGGATGCTTATTAAGACTAGTTTATGGCACAGGTTATCCATTGTCTCGCAAATTTTAAGTGCTGCTCTGCAGAACCCGGCAACGTTCTATGTTGTACAGTAGCAGGGTTCCTCTCTGAAAACGGCAGGAACGTGTAGCATTCTCTTGTGTGTCCCAAGTATTTATGTAGTATTGACCTGTTATGAGCATAATACAGGCACTTGAGAAACATGTGCTCTGTAGTTTCTGGATGTCCAGAGCCATGGGGGCATTGTATTATAACCTAATTCAGTGATGGCAAACCTTTTAGAGACCGAGTGCCCAAACCCACTTATGCATCGTCAGGTGCCGGGTGGGTATGGCCCATTGGGTGAGTGTGGCCCATTGGGTGGGCATGGCTGTAGTGCAGTGGTTCTCAACCTTTTTAATGCTGCGACCCCCCAACCGGTCGTAAGTCGAGGACTATTCAACGGTCGTAAGTCGAGGACTACTCAAGTGGTGCAGCACCGTTTGCAGAATGGGACTTTTGGTGGGCTCAGCAGGGCAGAGACAGCCTGGACAATTCCTACTGGCTTTTGAAAGCCATAGAATTAACTCTATCAAGAGAGTCTATTCTATTGGCTTTCAAAAGCCAATAGAATAAAAGGGAGTAGCACAGCTAAGGAAAAGGGGGGGAAATGGCGGACTGCGTTGTTTGGTGACCCCCGTGAAATGGTCGTTCGACCCCAAATGGGGTCCCAACCCACAGGTTGAGAACCACTGCTGTAGTGGTAACAGCAGACAGGGTGGGACTAAAAAGTTCAATCAATCAATTCCAACTTTGCAAGAAGTTGAAATTGACTGAACTTTTTTTTTTTTTTTTGCACACGGCGGCAGAGTCCTAAAGCAAAAAGGTTTTATAAAACCCAGCTGAAGGCCTAGGACTGGGGCGATGGCGCACGTGCCCATAGAGAGGGCTCTGAGTGCCACCCTGGTACCTGTGCCATAGGTTCGCCACTACTGACCTAATCTCTGAATTGAATTGAAAAGAACAAAATTTAATTCTTCAATGTCTTTTCTCTACTTCTTCATGCCCAGTACTGAGATATGTTTGACTAAAGTGAATCAGGCCCCAAATTAAATTGTCAATTTCTCCATCGCATTTCCAAATGTAGATCAGAAAAGAAATTCTGAATCAGGCCCCAAATTAAATTGTCAATTTCTCCATCGCATTTCCAAATGTAGATCAGAAAAGAAATTCTGAATCAGGCCCCAAATTAAATTGTCAATTTCTCCATCGCATTTCCAAATGTAGATCAGAAAAGAAATTCTGAATCAGGCCCCAAATTGTCAATTTCTCCATCGCATTTCCAAATGTAGATCAGAAAAGAAATTCAAGCCTTCTCTTCACTCAACACCTTCTGCCTCATGTGGATTTTCTTGTGTGCAGTTAGGGAGGACCTTTGCGAGAAGCATCGTCCGCACTCTGGGCATCTGAAAGGTTTCTCCCCTGTGTGTAAACCTACATGATTTATAAGGATAGACCTAGTACTGAAACTTTTCCCACAAACTGGACACTCATAAGGTTTCTCCCCTGTGTGAGTCCTCTGGTGTGTCACCAGGGTGGAACGATGAGTGAAACGTTTCCCACAATCCAGACACTTGTACAGTTTCTCCCCAGTGTGAGTCTTCTGATGTAGCACCAGATCAGGATTCCGACTGAAACATTTCCCACAGTCCAGACAATTGTATGGTTTTTCCCCGGTGTGAGTTCTCTGGTGAATCACCAGGGCGTAACTCCGAAGGAAACCTTTCCCACAATCTGGACACTTGTACGGTTTCTCCCCAGTGTGTATCCTCTGGTGTACCAGGAGGTCGGAATTCTGACGAAAACCTTTCCCACAATCAGGACACTCATATGGTTTCTCCCCAGTGTGTATCCTCTGGTGTACCACCAGATCAGAATTGTAACTGAAACATTTCCCACAATCCGGACACATGTATGGTTTCTCTCCTGTGTGAGTCCTCTGGTGTATCACCAAGCCGTATTTCCAACTAAAACTTTTCCCACAATCTGAACACTCATATGGTTTCTCACCAGTGTGAGTCCTGTGGTGGGTCACCAGGTGGGAATTCTGACTGAAACATTTCCCACAATCCAGACACTTGTAAGGTTTCTCTCCAGTGTGAGTCCTCTGATGTATAGCCAGAGCATAATTCCGAATGAAACTTTTCCCACAAATTAAGCACTCATACGGTTTCTCTCCTGTGTGTATCCTCTGGTGTATCACCAGGTCAGAATTGTGACTGGAGCCTTTCCCAGGATCCAGGCATTCATACGATTTATCCCCATTGTGAGTCTTCTCGTGTATAATAAATTTGGAATTGAGACATTCGTACGGTGTTTCCCTTGGGTGTGTCATCTGGTATATATCTGGGGTAGTATCTGTCCTAAAGATTTTGCCATACTGAGGGCGCTGGGAAGGCTTTTCTTCAGGGTGGGTCCTCTGATGCATAATCAGGTGTGATCTGCAATCTGTGCTTTTCTCACAATATGCATATCTGGGAGCTTTTCTACCAATTGGTTTCTGGAGATCAAAAATATTGCCACATAGGGCAAATACTCATGCAGTCCAAGTGATCCCTTCCTTCCCACTGAATTCCAGATATTTCCTTTTTTTTCAATTTGGAAATGACCCCTTCTGTCCTTTTTGTGGAGTATTTTAATGAGCTCCACAGACTCAATAATTTCCAAACAGTCTTCCTGTTATTTCTCTCTTTTTTTGTCTGTTAGCTGCTGGGGAAATGGAGGACTGTTTTGATTTTTCTGGAGGAAGTAGGAAAAACTTTGATTGCCGGCTAGATTTGCTTTCCTTTTTAATGCTTGTTGCGATTCCTTCTCGTCAAGAATGCTCCTCCTGGTGTCTTTTTTCGTCTATAAGATTCACATAAAATGGTTAGTTTAATTATTGAACATAAATGGATGCACAGGATGTGAAATCAGCAAGAAAAGAAGCATAAGTTACAATCAAAAAGCAAACATACCAAAATAGAAGAGTTACCTTTAATGTTATGATTCCTTTCACAGATAGAAGTCTATGAGATCCAAGTTCAAATACCAAAGCAATCATGACATTCTCTCGTTGATTTTAGTAAATCACAAATTCTTAGCATTTAGTATTAAATCACTGGAAATGCTGAGGATAGAGGACATATTGAAATATAGGTACACAAACCTACATATGTGCATATGTTAAAAATCCATGTATGTTTCAGCCTGAAAAAACTTCCAGAACTGGTATACTAAAAGTTTTTAGTCCAATACAGGCTATTTTTCTATCTTGGATATTTCTAATATTTCTGGACTTATTATTTATATTAGAATTACTTTGGAATTGGAGAAGCTATTGTTATTGCTTCAACCATGGTCCTCACCTGTGAGCAAAGAAAACAGGCAAAGGATTTTTATTTTTATTTGAAAACGTTTTTGGAAAAATTTCCGGCAAAAATTACCCAATCCATGGATTTAAGATTGGAGACTTGGGAGAAGAGGCTGGGTTTAAAAACAGGTAATCGCTGTTGTTATGTGCCACATGATGAAAAAAAATTCCCCACTTTTTTCAATTTTCTCCATTTTCATATCAGAATTGGCATATGTTGAGAGATCGTGGCCCTCAGTTATACAGAATTTTAGGCAAAGAAAATCAAGCCTAATCAGGACATACTTCCAAAAATATTTCTTTGGCTTGATGGAGAATTTGGCACCGGTATACTCTTAGAGACACAAAAATGGGTCTGCAAAAGCATATACATTTTTCTCAAGATGTCCGTCATTTTGAAGAATTGATAGGATACAGATTTCAAAGAATGCAGCTAATAGAATAGTCAAAGTGGATATTTTACCAAAGAACTTCTCAGACCATAATCCGCTCATTTTAAAGTTTAACACAAAATTGAGATCTTCTCATTGCAGATTCAACAAGGCAATTTTACAAAAAGATCACGTGGCTGGTAACAATACAAATAAACAAATTATTTGATAACCTTGAAAAGTGTGTTCATATAAAAATTTGTTTGAGATGCAAGTGAAGCTGTGATAAGAGGCTTCATCCAATATAATGCTGAGTTGAAAAAAGAAATCCAAGAAAAAATGCAGACCACAATAGATGAATTAAAATGAAAGAAGATAAATTGGAGAAGTTCCCAACCAATACTACTATTTCTTATCAAATTAAACTTTTACGACAATTATGTCCATTCACGTGCTGACTTTGAACAGAACCTTTTTGTGCTATATGTTTATCTCTCAGATATTTAACTTTTTCGATATTGTTTTGGTGATAGGATATGTTAGGATAGGATAGACAAAAAGTGAACATCTTCAGAGGAAATGATGCCCAAAGCCTCTGCAAGATTTAAAGCACCAGTTTTGCCCATGAAATTCCTCACTTGCCAAGAAAACAACACACTGATGAAAAGAAAAAGCACACGGAGTCAACTCTAAAGTAAAGACTTTTTAAATCTCCCAACCAGCAGAAAATTGAAGGAACCAATTTTACTGTATTACTATTATCCTTCTCGTCTTTCCTACTACCTATTTCCTTAGATTCTTATGACTATAACTTTATTGTTTCTATCTTATCATTTATGTTGATTACTAATTAGTATCCTATTATGATTTATGTTGATTGCTTATTTAGTATCCTATGACTATCGCTGAATGTTGTATCTTATGATTTATGATTGTACTTTATGGTTATGATGATTTATCACTTGTTGCTTGTGAGCTTATGCACCGGAGACAAATTCCTCATGTGTCCTATCACACCGCCCTATCCCTATCCCTATCCCTATCCCTATCCCTATCCTCTAGTCCAGGGGTAGTCAACCTTAGCTCTTTTATGACTCGTGGACTTCAACTCCCAGAATTCCTAGCTGGCTCAGGAATTCTGGGAGTTGAAGTCCACGAGTCATAAAAGAGCCAAGGTTGACTACCCCTGCCTAGTCTCTAGTCTAGTCTACTCTAGACTAGACTCTAGTCTCCTCATGTCTAATCTACTATCATGAAGCATCACTGGAATAAAATTTGGGGAGGGAAAGAATATGCAGCAGCTGAGTATGTGTCGGCCTTGTCCCTTCGCTGCTTCCATGCCGCGAGGAAACCAAACAGCCCGACTTACGACCTGCCCTTCACTCACCTTCCAGCTGCAGCTTCGACTCTGAGAAGAGCAGGAGAGCCGCCCTCTACGCCTCTGTCCTCCTATGGCTCAGCCGGAAGAGGAAGTTCCTCTGTCCTTCTCCAAATCTTCTCTAGCAATGCAATACTCTATTGTTTTAATACACCTTCAGCTCAGTCGTTTCCCTTCCCGTTAGATGGTATTAGAAGGCGATCGGGCTATCCGCTGCTGTGTTGGCGGCTTTCGAGTAGCGGCTTTGGCTGACGACTTCAGGTCTAACTAGAACTGGGACTGAGTACTTCCCGATCTCTAGCCTGGTGCCTTTACCGTTAGGCTGCTCCAACAGCCTTTTTTTCCCCATAGAATAAAAAGGGATCTTGGAGGTCATCTAGTCCAAACTCCTGTCGAGCAGGACAGCAAATGGCTGTCTAGTCTCTTAAAGACCTCCAGCGATGGAGTGCCCATAACTTCTGGAGGCCAGCTGTTCCACTGGTTAATTGTCCCCCACTGCCAGGAAATTTCTCCTTAATTCCAGGTTGCTTCTCTCTTTGATTAATTTCCACCCATTGCCTTCTGGTGCTTTGAAAAATAAGTTGATCCTCTCATCTTTGTGGCAGCCCCTAAAATATTGGAACACTGCTATCATGTCAACCCCTACTGCTTCTTTTTACTAAACTAGACATACCCAATTCTTGCAACTGGTCTTGGAATCCAACTGTTGTAACTTTGAACGGTCACTAAATGAACTGTTGTAAGTCAAGGACTACCTGTAATTCAAGGCGGCTCCAACACATCTTCCTCCACCTATTTCCCCCCCCCCCGTAACCCTCGTGAGGTGGGTTTGGCCGAGCACTAGTGATTGGCCCAAAGTCACCCAGCTGGTTCTTATGGCTAAGGTGGGACTTGAACTCACACTCCTTTAAGATTGCTTGTTGCTTAATTTTGTTTTGTTTTATTAGTTATATATCATTTGTAGGTTTTGTGGGGTCTAAGTTATCTTTTTTATTGCAAAGGAGTTACTTGTTGGGTACTCCACTATTCCCTTCGTGTCAATATCAAAGTATCCAATATATATAATTAAAATCAATATTTGTTCTACTCCAAACTTAAGTGTGCCATAAATTATTATTGCTATTGTTATTTTCAGACTCATATACAGTATATTGCCCCTCTTTTTTGCCATCTGGTTTTGGTGGTATGCATGAGACATCTCCCGAGGGGAAAAAAAGATGGAGTCTTCACAGAATGATAATCAAAAGAACCATACCCTTTGCAATGAACTCTTATAATAGCCAGTCAGCCATGAACACTTCCAACGTCTTCCCTTCCATTTCTCTATGTCCCATTTGATTCCCCAAAGACATCAGAAAGTTGTAGCCACTAAGAGTTTGTATTATGGAATGATCCTCTCAGAGATCCAGAGGCTTTTCAACCGTTTCAATAATTTTCAGCTCCTAAGCACAATAAACCGTGACTTGATAACAGAGGTGCCCAAAAATGGCACCAAAGAAAGAGACAGGGGAGGAATATAGAATAGCAGAGCTGGAAGGGACCTTGGAGATCTAGTCCAACCCCCTGATCAAGCAGGAGACCCTATACCAGGGGTAGGCAACCTTGGCTCTTTTATGACTCATGGACTTCAACTCCCAGAATTCCTGAGCCAGCCATGCTGAAGGGAAAGGGAGAAGTTTCCAAGCTGAGCCATGCTGGCTCAGGAATTCTGGGAGTTGAAATCCACGAGTCATAAAAGAGCCAAGGTTGCCTACCCCTGCACTAGTCAATTGTTCTCAGTGCTAGAAAGTTTCTCCTTAGTTCTAGGTTGCTTTTCTCCTTGCTTAGTTTCCATCCATTGCTGCTTCTTTCGTCTTCAGGTGCTTTTGAAAACAAGCTGGCCCTTTCTTCTTTGTAGCAGCCTCTCAGATATTGGAACACTGCTATCATGTCACCCTTAGTTCTTTTTTGTTAAATGTAATTTGATGGTTTAAAAGTTTAAAAACTTTGCACATGTTTAAATTTGAAGCCCTTTGGAGCTTGAGGCTCAGTCCAAACAAGCCTCTTTGTTCCTCCTGAATGTTGGGCATCTTCTATAAAAAGAACATTTGCAATGTGACCTACTGGGGGGGGTGGGGGGGTGGGGGGAAACGTATGATATTAACTGATCAGATCAAGCCAAATCTTTATTACAGTGAAAGACCAAAGAATGAGGGGTACATTTAATTTAAAAGCATGGAAAATAATCAATGTCCCAAAGTAGTAATTATTATAAAAAGCTGAGTTATAAAAGAGATACAAATTACTTAAAAGCAGAACTATAAATGGAACTACAGATAGCCCTTGATTTACGACCACAATTAAGCCCAAAATTTCTGTCGTTAAGTGAGTTTTGCCCCATCTTACGACTTCTCTTGCCTCAGTTGCTAAGTAAATCTGACTGCCCCATTATTTTTTCTGTCAGGTCGCAAAAGGTGATCACATGACCCTGGGACACAGCAACTATTGTAAATATGAGTCAGTTGTCAAGCGTCTGAATTTTGATCACGTGACCATGGGGATGCTGCAAAGGTCGTAAGTGCGAAAAGCGGTCATATGTCCCTTTTTTCAATGCCGATGTAACTTTGAACGGTCACTGAACAAACTATTGTAACTCCAGGATTACCTATATCAGGTAATATAGGTAATTTTGGGTAATATAGGACCCAGATTGCTGGGAGGGGCAATATGCTGACTGTAAACCCCTTGTAAAGGATTGTAAAGCACTGTGAAGCGCTATATAAGTCTAAGTGCTACTGCTACTGCTATATAAGAAGGGCTAGGACAAGGGTAGGCAACCTTGGCTCTTTTATGACTCGTGGACTCAGGAATTCTGGGAGTTGAAGTCCACGAGTCATAAAAGAGCCAAGGTTGTCTACCCCTGGGCTAGGAGCATGAGAGAGGTGTTGGGAGCATAAAGGTTAATATGTGGCAGACTAAATTTATCACTCTACAGAGCACATCAGTATGGTGACTTGGATGCTTGTTAACATTAGTTTATGGCACAAATCATCATCTGACAAGTTTTAAGTGATGAACCTTAGAAGCTGGCAACTTTATACCCTGTAGCAGGATTCCTATCTGAAACCAGCAGGGAGGTGTCATGTATACCCCGACTATTTATGAAATCATGGTCAGATGAGCCTGGTATGAACATCTCTGCAATACAATCACTGGCAAAGCACGTCCTCTGATGTTTCTATGTGTGCAGAGTCAGGGGGGCATCGTATTATAACCTGAATTATCCTACTGAAATGAACAAAATTGAATTCTTTGGTGTCTTCTAAGTGCAGCAAAATCGGAACCGTTCACCCGCATAGCTAAAATGCCACTTAGCTGCTCCTAATAATTTTCCTCTGTTTACTTCTAGGGCAGTGGTTCTCAACCTTTTTAATGCCGTGACCCCCAACCGGTCGTAAGTCGAGGACTACTCAACCGGTCGTAAATCGAGGACTACTCAGCTGGTGCCACACCGTTTGCAGAATGGGACTTTTGGCGGGCTCAGCAGGGCAGAGACAGCCTGGACAATTCCTATTGGCTTTTGAAAGACAATAGAATTAGACTCTATTCAAGAGAGTCTATTCTATTGGCTTTCAAAAGCCAATAGAATAAAAGGGAGTAGTACAGCTAAGGAAAAGGGGGAAAAAATGGCGGGCTGCGTTGTTTGGCGACCCCCGTGAAATGGTCGTTCGACCCCAAATGGGGTCCCGACCCACAGGTTGAGAATCACTGTTCTAGGGATTTGTTTTTGGGAGGGGGGGGGACTTTTAAAAGAAGCCCCGAGAGTGGAATGAAAGAATTAGACAAATTTCCAAAGTGTTGCGAAGAGAGCTTCGCATTCCATTGTCCCAATTATCACACCAATGCTGACACTACGCATTTTTTTCCCTTGTCAAAAGCTATTCAGGGATCTTATACAACGTGTTTTTAAAAATGAAACATTTACCACTGTGCAATTCTTTTTCTCGCATCTCCGCCACCCTGGGGAAAATGCAACAAAACTGTCAGCCCCTTGGTGCTGCACCAGCCATCAAAAGCTGACAAGCGGCACCCCTAAACAAACAGGATCGCAGCAGGAGTTGCTAATAATAATAAGATCCTCTGCTCAAAATGACAACCCCATTCTTTTCAATATTCTTACAGCACCTATACATCATGTTCAACAATCTAAAGGTGCTTTTTCCAAGAGACAACTGGACTTTTTTTTCCCCCTTGAAAACATTTCGCTTCTCACCCAAGAAGCTTCTTCACTTCTGACTGAATGGTGGAGTCAGAACTGAAGAAGCTTCTTGGATGAGAAGCGAAATGTCTTCAAGGAAAAACAAAGGAAGTCCAGGAGTTGCCTCTTGGAAAAAGCACCTTTGGGACAACCATGACCTGGATGACTGAGAATCTTCACAGATATGTTCAACAGCCTTTATATGTGAAATTTTACACTGCTGTTGTTGTTGAGCCCTCTCTCATATATTTACCAGTCTGTATTTCACCCTAACCACAATGTGAACAGGCATTCTTCCTGCACTAAATAGTTGGAAGTCTTAGGAGAAGTTAAACTCTGAACCCCTTATTTTTTCATATTTGAGGAACCATAACCTGTAAGTAAATTTGAGTGCTCCTGTCTTCTAATATACGGCATTCAGTAATTTCTGCTGACAGCCAGATATAGGTAGTTAGCTCTTATAAAAACAACATTTTCCTTTCCTTTTCTCTCCTCTCTCATGGTTCATATTAAGACATATTTGACTAAAGTGAATCAGGCCCAAAATTAAGTAGTTTCTCAGCTGCATTTCCAAAAGTAGGTCAGACAAGAAATTCAAGCCTTCTCTGCAATCATCTCTTTCTGCCTCATGTGCATTTTCTTGTGTGTAATAAGGGAGGAATTTTGCGTGAAGCAACGTCCGCACTCAAGGCATTTGAAAGGTTTCTCCCCTGTGTGTAAACCTACGTGATTAATAAGGTTAGTCCTAGTACTGAAACCTTTCCCACAATCTGGACACTCATATGGTTTCTCTCCTGTGTGAGTCCTCTGGTGCATCACCAGCACCTGATTCTGACTGAAACTTTTCCCACAGTCTGAACATTCGTAAGGTTTCTCCCCAGTGTGTGTCCTCTGGTGTTTCACCAGGTGGGAATTCTGGCTGAAACTTTTTCCACAATCTGAACACTCGTACGGTTTCTCCCCTGTATGTGTCCTCTGATGTATTAGCAGCCCAGAATTCCGACTGAAAGTTCTCCCACAATCTGAACACTCATATGGTTTCTCCCCTGTATGAATTCTCTGGTGCATCACCAGGGCATAATTCCGGATGAAACTTTTCCCACAATCTAGACACTCATATGGTTTTTCCCCAGTGTGAGTCCTCTGGTGTATAACCAGGTCGGAATTATGACTGAAACTTTTCCCACAATCTGGACACTCATACGGTTTCTCCCCAGTGTGAGTCCTCTGGTGTACCACCAAGTCAGAACGGTGTCTGAAGTGTTTCCCACATTCCAGACACACTGGTTTCTCCCCAATATGAGTTCTGTGGTGGTTCGCCAGGTGGGAATTCTGACCAAACTTTTTCCCACAATCGGGACACTCATATGGTTTCTCTCCTGTGTGCATTCTCTTGTGTATTGCTAAGGTGGCCTGGTTCCTAAAGCTTTTGCCACATTGGCAGCACTGGGTGGGCTTTTGTCCAGTGTGAGTCCTCTCGTTCATAATCACATAAGGTCTGCAATCCCACAATATGCACATCTGTGAGGCTTTTCCACCTACGACAGTTTTGGATATGGAAATCAAATATATTGCCACATAGGGCAGACAGTCATGCAGTCCAAGTGACTCGTTCCTCCCCACTGATTTCCAGATATTTCCTTCTTTTTCTGATTTTGGAAACAGACTTTTTCATGGAGTGCTTCCTTGAATTCCACAGAGTCTGTTTTTTCCAGCTCAAAACTCTCCCCTCTTATTCTCTCTTTTGTCTGTCATCTGATAGAAGAAGTTTGTGGTTTTCTGGAGAAAGTGGAAAAATCTTTGATTACTGGCTGGATTTTCCTTTTTAATGCTGCTTCTGATTCTCACTTGTCCAAGATGATCTTCTGCACATCCTCTTCGTCTAAAAGATTCACATAATATAAATGGATGCACAAGATGTGAAAACAGCAAGAAAAAAGCATAAATTCTGATTCTGACTTGTCCAAGATGATCTTCTGCACAGCCTTTTCATCCAAAAAATTCACATAATATAAATGGATGCACAAGATGTGAAAACAGCAAGAAAAAAGCATAAATTACAGTTAGGAAGCAATCACGCCAAAGTATTAAATTTATCTATAACATTAATTATGATTCATTTCAAAGATAGAAGACTCTGAGATCCATGTTCAAATAACCGTACAATCATTACATTCTCTTGTTCAAAGTTACGATGTTTTCATACTTAACGACTATTGCAGCATCCCCATGGTCATGTGATCACAATTCAGATGCTTGGTAACTAATTCACAGTTATGAAGGTTGCAGTGTCCCAGGGTCATGTGATCCCCTTTTGTGACTTTCTTATAAGCAAAATCAAGGGGGAATCCAGTTTCACTTCACAAGCATGACACTAATTTATCAACTGCAGTGATTCACTTAACACTTTGTCAAGAAAGTTCATAAAATGGGTCAAAATTTCACTTAAATGTTTCACTTACCAAAAGAAAAGTTCGGTTCTATTGTGGTCGTAAGCTGTGTACTATCTGTATATCATAATTTTCTACCATTGTTATTATCAAAGATAACTGGAAATGCTGAGGATAGTTTATACCAGCGGTTCTCAACCTATGGGTTGCGACCCCATTTGGGGTCGATCGACCATTTCACGGGGGTCGCCAAGCAAGGCTGTCCATTTTTTCCCCCTTTTCCGGTGAGTGCCTTACCTCCCTTGGGCTGGGCCAGCTGGTGGTCGGCCTGCTCCGTCTCTGACGCTTGCCAGGTACGCCTCGGCCAGCGCAGGAGGCGGCACCACACATGCGCGGTGCTCCCGGGCAGGGAAAGTCCGCGACTTAAGACCGGTTGGGTAGTCCTCGACTTATGACCGGTTTAGTCCTCGACTTACGACCGGTTGGGGGTCGCGGCATTAAAAAGGTTGAGAACCACTGGTTTATACAGATATATGCAGAGAGAGAAATACAGATACACACATCTACAAATGTATGCGTGTCAAAAATCCATGTGTATTTCAGCCTGAAAAATTTGTCAAACCTGGGTACGCTCAAATATTGTGGTCTAATGTTGGGGGGAGGCGTCAACAGAGGAAATGGTGTCTAAAACCTCTGCAAGATTTAAAGCACCAGTTTTGCCCATTAAACTCCTCACTTGCCCAGAAAACAACGTGCTCATAAAAACCACAAGGAGTCGCCCCTAGCAAGGAGACATTTAAGTCTCCCTAACCAGCAGAAAAATGTGGACCAGAGTTTTAAAGTGAGCAGAATCTATGAAATTATATTTGGGGAGGAAAGAAACAGCAGATGGTATGTTTCAGCCTTGTTCCTTCTCTCTACACCAGTGTTTCTCAACCTTGACAATTTTAAGGCATGTGGACTTCAACTCCCAGAATTCCACAGCCAGCAATGCTGGGTGCGGAATTCTGGGAGTTGAAGTCCACATGCCTTAAAATTGTCAAGGTTGAGAAACACTGCTCTACACCGTGGAGGAAACCAAATAGCCCAACTTGCTCCTCGCGGTTCTTCCGACCTGTCCCCAACTGACCTGCCAGCCACTGTCCTTGGAAGAGCTGGAAAACTGTCTCCCATTGCTTCAACCTCCTATGGGCCATGCAGAAGAGGAAGTTCCTCGTCCCTTCTGCTCCCTCCCACGTCCTCTCTAGCAATACTCGATGGTTTTAACACTTTTCAGCTTAGCCGCTCCCTCTCCTGTTGGGTGTTATTACACAGCAACTAGCAGTGTTGCTATTCTGTTGCTGGCTTTCTAGGCGGGGGTTTTGTTAATGGCTTCGTGCATGAGGCAGGACTGGAGCTGAGCCTTTCTCAGTTCTGGGGCTTTCGCCACTACACCAAACTGGCTCTTCTTCTTTCCCACAAAATCTACCCACTCAGCTGTTCCTGCAGCTGCACTCTTTCAAGATCTAGTCAACATCTTTGCAACCGGTTCCCCATTATTCTCCTGATAACAGATCCTTTTTATCTTTAAATCTGAGCTTCTCAAACTTTTCTTCTGAAGAAATGGAGTGTTTCTCCGATTGTAGGCTGGTGGCTTCTGGTCTGGCTCCCGGGACCAGCTCCTCTGGCTATGAGATAGCCCGTTGCTTAATATTGTTTGGTTTTATTAGTTATATAGTGGTCAGATTTTGGTGTGTCTAATTCATATATTCTTTCTACTGTTAAAAGAATATAGGGATATAGTAATCCCAACAAGGGATTACTTGTTGGGAATTCCACTATTCCCTTTTTATCAATTTCATTGTGTCTATTTTGAATGTTTGGGTAATGGGATTCAGTTACAGTTCTTTTATTTCTGCTCCTCAATTAATTCTTAAGCATGACATATATTGTTATTCCTCTCCTCACATTCATACCCATTGCCCCTCTTTTTTTCCATCTGGTATTTTGATTGTATGTATGAGATAACGCCCCAAAGGGGGAAAAAATTGAATTCTTTGTGGAATGATAATCAAAAGAAACATTGCTCTTTGCAAGGAACTCTTGTACTAGCCCAGTGTTTCTCAACCTTGACAATTTTAAGGCATGTGGACTTCAATTCCCAGAATTCCACAGCCAGCAATGCTGGCTGTGGAATTCTGGGAGTTGAAGTCCACATGCTTTAAAATTGTCAAGGTTGAGAAACACTGTTAACTAGCCAGTCAGACACTATTTTCCAAAGCACCTGAAGGCAGGACAAGAAGCAGCGGGTGGAAACTAATCAAGGAGAGAAGCAACTTAGAATTAAGGAGAAACTTCCTGACAGTAAGTACAATTAATCAGTGGAACAGCCTGCCCCCAGAAGCAGTAAATGCTCCAACACTGGAAGTTTTTAAGAAGAGACTGGACAGCCATTTGTCCAAAATAGTGTAGGGTTTCCTGCCTGAGCAGGGGGTTGGACTAGATGACCTCCAAGGTCCCTTCCAACTTTACTACTACTACTACTACTACTACTACTACTACTACTACTACTACTACTATAAATTATTAATTCTTCCCTTCCTTCTCTCTGTGCTACTGTTCCATTTTGTTCCCCAAAGACATCAGAATGTTGTAGCCATTTAAGGTTTGCATTACAGGATGGTCCTCTTAAAGATCCAGAGGCTTTTGAACCATTTTAAGCATTTTCAGCTCCTAAGTATAATAAAATGTGACTTGATAACAGAGATGCTCCAAAAATGGCACCAAAAAAGAGAGGGGAATAGGGAAGGAAGAGAGAATTAAATGTAATTTGATTATTTTAGAGTTTAAAAACTTTGCACATATTTAATTTTGAAGCCACTTGGAGCTTGAGGCTCAAGCCAAACAAACATCTTGATTCCTCCTAACCCTGGCCTGATCCTAGTTGCTGAGTTTCCTTCTCTAAAGATTTCATATGCAATGTGATCTCCTGGAGGAAAAAAAAAAAGCACTATATAAACTGATAAAATCATATAAATCTTTATTACAGTGAAAGACTGGCATACAGTTAAAACAGAAGTCCCCAACTTTTTTGGTTTGGCGGCCTGGAAAGGGAGGCAGGCACCATTACGCGTGCATGTGCACGCACAAATGGGTCACACACAAGCGCCACAAATGGGGTGGTGTTAGCACCGGCAGGACACATTGGGGTGGCACTAATGCTGGCAGGATGCTTGGCGCAGGGCGGTGCTAGCACCGGCGGGATGCTCGGGGTGGTACTAGTGCGAGGTGGGGTGAGTGCATGCACACACACGCATGCACAGCCATCCCTTCACACAGCCCGATGGCCAAGTAGTGGGCCATAGGCCACAGGTTGGGGGCCCCTGAGTTAAAAAGTACAGAAAAAATCATAGTCTAAAAATGATAATACATAGAAGAGAGAATATATATAAAAACAGAAGTTTAAATGGAACTAAGAGGAAAGCTAGGGTGAGATGGGTGTAGGGGGCATAAAGGTTAGTTATGTGGCAGACTAAATTTATCACAACACAGAGCACACAAATGTGACACGCCGGATGCTGGTTAAAACTAGTTTGTGACATATGTCATCCATCATCTGATAAATTTTAAATGCTGATTCACAGAACTTGACAAATTCATTCATTTATTCACTCACTCATTAAATTCACTGGCTGGCATCTTACAGAGGATAATTCTGGGTGGCTTATTAAAAAGATAAAAATATGCAAAATCTATAAACACAACGAATATGTTATAAAAATATAAAAACTCAACAATACTCAAATGCTCAACCATACTCACGTTATACAATATGATAGTAGCAGTAGGATAGTAGCAGGGTTACTATCTGAAAGTAGCAGGGAGGTGTAGAATTCTGTGAACGCTGAGTAGTAATGCAGTACTGGAGAGATGAGCCTAGTACAAATGTCTCTGTAATACAACCAGTGGAGAAGCATATGATCGCTTGTTTCTGGGTGTCGAGAGTCACGGGGGTACTGTATTATAACCTGAAATGTGTTACTGAAATGAACAAATTTTGAATTCTTTGGTGTCTAAATTTAGCATCTTGGCCACTGCTATCATCCACCAGCCTTCAAAAGATAACAAGAGGCACCTCCACACAAAGGCGATCATAGCAGGAGTTGCTGATACCTTTGCAGATCCTATGTTCAAAAGTCACAACCTCCTTTTCTCTGCAATACAACAGCATTTGCATATAATATTCAACAACCTTTTACCTGTGAACTTTTTGTGCTCTTCTCACGACCCCAAACCTCCCTCATATGTTCACCGTTCTGTGCTTCACTGCGCTGGGCTTCACTGTTCCCAAACAATGAATTCACCATTCTCCTTGCACTCCATTTTTTTGTGCACGTTGGGAAAAGATGAATACTTTTTACCTCTTCTCTCCTTTGACCTCCTATTTGAGGAGCCACAATCACTAAGTGCGCCTATCTTTTTTGTATGGATGGAAAACTAATCAAGGAGAGAAGCAACCTAGAACTAAGGAGAAATTTCCTGATAGTGAGAACAATTAATCGGCAGAACGGCTTGCCTTCAGACGTTCCGGGTGCTCCATCAATGGAGGTTTTTAAGAAGAGACTGGACATCTACTTGTCTGGAATGGCATAGGGCAGTGATGACGAACCTTTTAGAGACTGAGTGCCCAAAAACTGCCCCCGCCCTGTGCCCCGCCCACCCCTGCTTGCCCACGCCTGCCTTGCCCCACCTGGCCACAGGGCGACCCACTGCCTCCACAGCCCACCGCGGTTTGCCCAGGCAGGCCAGCAGTACCATGGCAGCCACGCACGCTCCCCACATCAACTGCGCGCAATGGGGCACAAGGGCAGTCTTGTCCCTGCTGCCCGGCTGCCATGTCCTTGGTTGCGCTGCTCTGTACGGGCCGCACTCGGAGGCAACTCTCCTCGGGGGGGGGCTGCTGGTGAGGAGGGGGCCATGGAGGAAGGCGGGGCTGGGGCAATGGCACGCGTACCCATAGAGGGCATGCCATGGGTCTCCTGCTTGAGCAGGGAATTGGACTAGAAGACCTTCAAGGTCCCTTCCAGCTTTGTCATTTTGTAATGTATTTTTTAGGACCTGTAGCAGATTTCTAGGGCCTCTGATAAAGATTGAGTATGACTCAGATTTTTTTCAAAAGGTCTGCTGGCTGGGAAATTCATTGAAAATGAGGACACACACGGCAGAAAATCTATTTGTGGTATTTCTATTATGCATGATTATCAATAAGCAAAAAATACCCTAATAGGTTTTTGGTTTTTTTTGCAGAATTGCACAATTTCTGAACAAGTGAATATCCAGTAACTTTTGCTGATAGCCAGATACGGGAAATTAGCCCTTAGAAAACTAACAAGTTTTCTTTTCTCCCTTATCTCTAATACTGAAGCACATTTGACTAAATGAACAAGCCCAGAAATTAGTTAATTTCTCAGCCATACGTCTAAAGGCAGCAATGAAATTCAAGCCTTCCCTACATTCACCTTCTGCTTCATATGGATTTTCTTATGTGCAGTAAGGGAGGAATTTTGTATGAAGCACCGTCCGCACTCTGGACATTTGAAAGGTTTCTCCCCAATGTGTAAACCTACATGATTTATAAGTTTAGGCCTAGTACTAAAACTTTTCCCACAATCCGGACATTCATATGGTTTCTCCCCTGTGTGAGTCCTATGATGTATCACCAACTCAGAATTCCGACTGAAAGTTTTCCCACAATTAGGACACTCGTATGGTTTCTCCCCAGTGTGAGTCCTCTGGTGTATCACCAATGTATAATTTTGACTGAAACTTTTCCCACAATCCAGACATTCATACCGTTTCTCCCCTGTGTGAATCCTTTGATGTATAACCAGCTCAGAATTTCGACTAAAGTTTTTCCCACATTCCAGACACTTGTATGATTTCTCCCCTGTGTGAGTCCTGTGGTGTATCACCAAGTGAGAATTCCGACGGAAACATTTCCCACAATCCAGACACTCATATGGTTTTTCCCCAGTGTGAGTCCTCTGGTGTATTACCAGATCATAATTCTGTCTGAAACTTTTCCCACAATTTGAACACTCATATGGTTTCTCTCCTGTGTGTGTTCTCTGGTGTATCATCAGGTAGGAATTACGACTGAAACTTTTCCCACAATCTGGACACTCAAACGGTTTCTCCCCAGTGTGAGTCCTCTGGTGTATCACCAGGTGGCAATTGTGACTGAAGATTTTGCCACACTCCTGACACTCATACAGTTTCTGTCTTATGTGTGTCCTTTGATGTACAACCAGGTTGGAATTTTGAATGAAGTGTTTCTCGCAATCTGTACACTTATATGGTGCCTTCTGAGTGTGAGACCTCTGATGTGTCACCAGGTGGGAATCCTGAGTGAAATCTGGACACTTGTATAGCTTCTCTTCAGTGTGAATCTTCTGGTATATCACAACATCAGAATTCTGACTGAATCTTTTCCCACAATCCAGACTCTCATATGTTTTTTCCTCAGTGTGAGACATCTGGTGGCTCTCCAAGTGGTAATTCTGACTGAAAGTTTTACCACATTCCTGACTCTCACATGGTTTCTCTCCTATATGTGTTTTCTGATGTAATACCAGATCAGAATTGTGATTGAAACTTTTCCCACAATCAAGACATTCATACAGTTTCTCCCCAGTGTGAGTCCTCTTATGTATCACCAGGTTTGAACTATGACTGAACGTTTTTTCACAGTTGGGACACTTGTATGGTTTCTCTCCAGTATGTGTCCTCTGATGTACCACAAGATCAGAATTGTGACTGAAACTTTTTCCACAATCTGGACACTCATACGGTTTCTCCCCAGTGTGAGTCCTCTGGTGTATCACCAGGTGGGAATTCTGACTGAAACTTTTCCCACAATCTAAACATTGATATGGTTTTTCCCCAGTATGAGTCCTCTTGTGTATCACCAGGGCATAATTCTGACTGAAACTTTTCCCACAATCCAGACATTCATATGGTTTCTCCCCAGTATGAGTCCTCTTGTGTATCACCAGGTTTGAACTGTGACTGAAACCTTTGCCACAGTCTGTACACTCATATGGTTTCTCTCCTGTGTGTGTCCTCTGATGTACCACCAAGTCAGAATTGTGACTGAAACTTTTCCCACAATCTGGACACTCGTATGGTTTCTCCCCAGTGTGAGTCTTGTGGTGGCTCATCAGATGGGAATTCTGACTGAATCTTTTCCCACAATCCAGACACTCATATGGTTTCTCCCCTGTGTGGGTCCTCTTGTGTATCCTTAGGGTGGCCTGCTTCTTAAAGATTTTGCCACAGTGATGACACTGAGCGGACTTTTCTCCAGTTTGGATCCTCTCGTGCATATTCAGCTACGATCTGCAATTTTTGCAGGGAGGTTTCCACCAGTTACATTTTTGGATTCTCAAGGTCCAAAATATTTTTGATCCCTTCTTCGATGGTGCTTTGATTCAAGCTACTCTTTCTTCCTTCACATGATGAGGCTTGCACGATTGTCTGCCCTATGTATCTATCCATTCCCGATTTCCAGATTATTTGGAATTTGGAAATGATCTTGTCCTTGACCTTTTTAGGGAGTGTTTCAGTGAGTTCCACAGACTCAATTCTTTCCAGCTCAAAATTCTCTTTCTGTTATTCTCTTTTGTCTCTCACCTTCCTTGGGAAGCAGAAGAATTTTGTGGTTTTCTGTAGGAAGTGGAAAATTTTTTGATTGCTGGCTGGATTTGTTTTCCTTTTTAATGTTCCTTTTGATTCTCACTTCTTAAGGATGGTTTTTCTGGACATCCTCTTCATCTAAAAGATTCACATAAAGTGGTGAGTTTAATCTTTATAAAAGGATGCACAAGATGTGAAAACAGCAAGGAAAATTCATACATTACAATAAAAAACAAATGCCAAAAATCATAGGTTAACCACCAACATTAACTATGATTCATTTGACACATAGAAAGCTAATGAGAACCAAGTTCAAATATCCACAGAATCATGAAATCCTCTTCTGGTTTTGCATAATTCTGAAATCCTTAGCACTGCCATCTGTTATTATCACATGAGTTTATAAATTCGGAGGAAAGCTTATATCAAGGGTGGGGAACTACGTCCCTTTTATGACTTCAACTCTCAGAATTCTGAGAGTTGAAGTCCACAAGTCATAAAAAGACCATACTTCCCCGCCTTTGGCTTACATAGATACTAATATATGCATACAGAGAGATAAACAGATACATACACATCTACAAATGTGGGCAAGTTGGAAATCCATTTCAGCCTGAACATTGTCCCAGAAGTGGGTATGCTCAAACTTTTTGATGTGATTTATAGAGAGAGGGGAGGCTTCAATAGATGAAACCATGCCCAACATGTCTGCAGAATTTAAAGCACCAGTTTTATCGATGAAGCTCCTCAGTTTCCAAGAAAACAAGATGTACATAAAATCACAAAAAGTGAACCCTAACCTGAAGACTTTTTAAATTTCTCAACCAGTGGAAAATTGAAGGCACCAGTTTTAAATTTGTAGCACTAGGGCAGTGTTTCTCAACCTTGACAATTTTAAGGCATGTGGACTTCAACTCCCAGAATTCCACAGCCAGCATTAGGGGAATAAAAATTGGGGAGGGAAGGTATATGTAGCAGCTGAGTATGTTTCAGCCTAGTTGCTTCTCTGCTTCTACACTGCCCTATTTGCTCCCAGCCTTGCTCTCTGACCTTTCCTCAGTTCATCTTCTAGCTCAGCGTTCCCCAACCTTTCCGGGTTGGCGGCCCAGCACACGGTGGGGAGGGGATGGTTTTGTGTGAGGGGCAGGTATGTGCGCATGCGCACAGCTTCATTTGCATGAGTGCTGTATCAGCGCCCGCTGCTTGCATGCACAAGCATACGTCCACCAGCCCGCCACTCACACGACCCGGTTGCAAATAGGCCACAGTCTGGTAGTGGGCCATGACCCACAGGTTGGGAACCCCTGTCCTAGCTGCTGCATGGACTCTAGAAAGAGAACAAGAGTTGCCCTCCATGCCACAATCTCCTATGGCAGGGATCTTCAAACTTGGCCCTTTTATGGCTTGTGGACTTCAACTCCCAGTATTCCTCAGCCAGACATGCTGGCTGAGGAATTCTGGGAGCTGAAGTCCACAAGTCATAAAAGGGCCAAGTTTGAAGAGCCCTGCCCTATGGGTTAATTGGAACCTCCTATGTCCTTCTCTTCTCTTCCACATTCTCTCTAGCAATCCAAGAATACTCAGTGGTTTCAATCCTTTTAGCTATACCGCAGAAGCTGCTACTGTACTGATGGGTTTCTAAGTGTGGGTATTACTGATCAGTAGAGCACCATACAGCAACATTTTATTTATTAAATTTCTATGCCATCAAACTCTCTGATAAGGTGATATTGGACGTCTTACAGTTCATAAAAAAATAAATAAAGCAATAAAAAAATTTAAAACTATGCAAATTAAAATAAGGCTGAAAAACACAATCTGAGGTGCTTAAAAGATTTTTTTTTATTACATCCAAGCAAGTCATTTTCGATTCCTGGTGATGACATTGATAGATTTTCTACAGGACAATCTATCCCAAACCTATTCTTTTGCTTGTCCCATCGCTGCTGGAACTGAGAAAGCTTTCTTTGCAGGAAGTGAGATCTAAACCAATGGAAAGCATCCTTGGGGAAAAATGATATGCAAACAGGCAAGATTAAGTGCATCAGTAAAGACTGCTGCAGTCAGTTACTCATCTTGGGGGGGGGGTGCAGGATAATGCCTCAAAATCTACCTTTGCAACTGAGAGAAACATGAAGAGTGAAGCTTCACTCTACTTAGCTTCACAAGATTAGCCTGGTGCTGGGCCCCGTGAGTTCATGAAGTTCTTCTTTTGGCTGCCGCCCTAAATGAGTGCTAGCTTCATCCTATTACACTGATGGCGAACCTTTTAGAGACCGAGTGCCCAAAAACTGTCCCCGCCCCCACTCCATCCCCTCCCCTGCCCCACCCCACTTGCCCACAGGGCTACTCACCGCCTCCAGCATGGCGCCCAGCAGCGCCATGGTGGCCACGCCCTCTGCCCACGCCCCGCATCATCAACTGTGTGCAATGAGGCATGAGGGCAGGGTGTTGTCTACGCTGCCTGGCTGCCATGTCCTTGGCTGCACTGCTCCGTGTGGGCCACAGCCGGGGGCAACTCTCCTCCAGCGGGGCTGCTGGTGAGGGGGTCGCGGGAGGAGGCAAGGCTGGGGCAACAGCACGTGTGCCCACAGAGAGGGCTCCAAGTGCTGCCTCTGGCACCCGTGCCATAGGTTCGCCACCACTGTCCTATTAACAGAATAATAAAGCATGGGACAAACCTGGAAGTGTCTGCTGGCTTTACCTCTGAACCACAGTTAGATAGGAGCTACATGCGATCTTCCTATCTGTGTTATCGGCAAGTCTAAATCTCACTACAGAATTGCTCAGAGGAGCCTTCCCAGTCTCCAGAGGAGTTAGATTTGCAACCTTATCATTCTCAAGCAACTTAGGTTAAAGACCCGGAGGAAACTACTTTGCAGAAAGCTGACCTAAAGAGCCCTGTTCTTTTTGCAGGAGTGGTTCTCAATGGAGATGAAAACCTCTCTAAATTCAAAGGATTCGTTCCTTCTTGCCAGGGCTGCCCTCTGTGTCTCGAAGCTGTAAGCAGCCTAATCAAGGAACCAACAAGAACACCACCTTCACATCACTCTCTTCTAGCACTGATGATGTTACCTAGTTGGGTAATGAAACGTCTGCAAGAAAACAACCAAGCTTAGAAAGCACCAAGCATCCCTTAGTTCAGGGGTAGGCAACCTTGGCTCTTTTATGACTCATGGACTTCAACTCCCAGAACTCCTGAGCCAGCATGGTTCAGCTTGGAAACCTCTCCCTTTCCCCTCAGCATGGCTGGCTCAGGAATTCTGGGAGTTGAAGTCCACAAGTCATAAAAGAGCCAAGGTTTTATGCCATAGTTTATCCCAGAGTTACAAATATTCTCTTCTATTTCTTTTTTTTTGCATGTATCACAGAACACGTTTTATCTCTTGGGAAGGCCGTTTGTAAAGGCAGTCGAAAGCTGCTTTTCCATTCAAAATTATAAGAATTAAAACATTGAAAACTTCCACAAGTGCTGAATTTCAGTGAGGTTGACCCAGATAAACTAGGATGCAGCCCACAACCAGAATCTGAGCACGTAACGGAGGCAGATTTAGGGGCTGCATCTCAAAACAAGCCCACATGGACAGGGCTGCCCATTGGCCAAAGTCTGGGACGCCTCTCTCTGCCACCTGCTTGCAGATACCACTGGCCTCTTCCTAGCACAGATCACCCAATCGGAGGGGAGTCCCTTCAGCCTCCGACCTGGGAACTACGATCCGCTTGAGTTCAGATCTCCCTGAGTCCTCCTCCCCTCCCGACCTTGGCCAGTTGATCCTCTCCAGCAGCGACAGGAGAAGAACGTGGGAACGGTGCCTCCCCCCCCCCCAACCTTCCAGAAAATACCAGGAGGCCACACGCTGGCAGCTGGGCTGCACCGAGATGTTGGGCTGAGGAGAAGGAGGGGGGGAGGGACTTGAAGGAAGGATTTTAAGGGGATCGGAGATCCGTTCGCAGAAGCAGCGATCAAGGAGGATAAGCAGCGGCGCAACAACTTGCACCGGGCAGAAAACCTTGCAAGCAAAGACGGGGACTCGGAAGGGGAGAGGGCGCAACTGGGAAAAGCCCAACTCCTTGCTCCCCCTCCCCCAAGCAACCCCTCCTTCCCTGCCCGCATCTGGGGATTCCCCCTCCTCCTCCACCTGATGGAGCCCCCCTCTTGCAACGTCCTTGCTCACCTGGAGCCCCTCCTCGCGAGGAGATCTCCGCAGCCCTGGCGCAGTAGGCGGCTGGAAACCACGAAGGGGGGAGAGCGGGAGGGGCCGGAGACTGGGCTCCCAGCCCTTTCCCCCCCCCCTCCCGTCCTACCTCCTCTCTAGGCGCAAAGGAAAAACTCTCTGCGTTTAACCCCTTCGCTGAAGCCCGGGCAGGGAGGGGGCGGAACTGAGCAAGGGCAAAATCGCCCAGTCCGGCTCCACCAGAGAGGATCGCTCGCATCACCAAAGCCAAAGGCTCAAAGCAAGCACCGAGACTGAAAGAGAAAGTTACATGGGCTCATCTGCATCTATAGGGGAAAATTAGGAATTGAAGATGAGTGATACTGTCCTGCAAGTGCGGTGGGACTACAACACCCACCATCCTTCACTCCTAG